TTTGGGCTAATGTTCAAAGTGAGCCATGGGCTAAACATTTTCATTTGGGATATTTTGGGTATGGGGGTGGGGTGGGCTGAATTGTTTGGGAGACTTAACTCAGTCTCTTGTTTTGTCTAAAACACTGTATAATTGAAAGAACATGAAATCTAGTTTATGAAGAGAGAAGAACTGACCACAGATATTATTTAAAATACTTCCTAATTCTGTGGGAGGCCAATTGATTGGTGGACCAGAGTCAGAGGGTCACACGGTGGCCTCAGGAGTATATTTGCAGCAAATCACTAGCATCACTTTGGTAGACTGGCCTATTAGTGACATCTTATATAAGATAAAAGAGACCACAGTCTCTTACTTAGTGGGCCAAAGCTTGCAGGTGAAATAATTTTGTGTTTACTATTTTATTTAAATATATTGCTTGGAATAGGTTAAAGATATACTATTAATTGAGTTCTATCTATTTCTGTTGTTAATCAGTAGTCTATTATTAGGGTCTTTGTATCTGAGACTAGTGTCTAAGCAAGTATTGTTTTCATTCCTTTTTAAAGAATTTATCCCTTTAGAATTTCACACATGTATGTCTTGATCATATTCACCCCAAACCTTCCTTCCCACTCCCCCGGGCTCTTCCCTACTACCTCCCCTTCTACCGCTATGGCTCCTTTTTAAAAAACAGCACACTGAGTCCAGTTAGAGCTGTCTGCATCCAGGCAAGTGTGGGCCTACCCACCTGAGCAGTAGCCCTCTACTACCCTGCTCCTCCCATTGTTGGCCAGTAGCTCCTCAGCTGGGTGGAGCCTCCTGAGCCTTGCCCCCATCCACGCCTGACTGTTGGCTGGTTTCATCTTGTGTATCTGTGGTGAGTTCATGAGTGTAATGACCTCACAGATCCAGTTCTCTGTCAGTTTGTCAGCACTCTTCCTTATCCTCTGGCTTACATTATATTCTGCCCCCCTTTCTCTGATATAAATGTCCCATTTAGGAATGAGTGTTCAGCAGTCACTTATTTTTACCACTTTGGCCTATCATGTTTTCATCTTTTTTTTAAAGTTAAATTTCAGCATGTTTTTTTTTTCTTTAGCTAATGACCTGTCAATAAAAACAAAATCTACTAAATTTAAAAGGCTTCTCTCTCTGTGTGTGTTATGTTTAAATTAAAGAACATGGCATAAAACAACATTGTATATAAACATATATATATTTTGGAGTGCTAGGGATGTAAGCTAGGGCCTTGTATAAACACACCCAAGCACATATATTTAAAGCAGTTCTTTAGTTCTGTGTTACTGAGATGACGAGAAAGGAGGGAAAGAATGGAGTGAAAGCAAAAGGAGAAAAATGAAGATATACCTAAGAAGGAAAAGGCCAGGTATGGCAGACTCCATGTAATCCCTGGCACACAGGAGGTCGAGGAGTTAAGGGCGGCCTTAGCTCCATAATGAAGTATCTGAGGTCAATCTGGGTTTCAAAACAAAACAAAACCAAGTACAAAGAAATAAAGAAAGAAAAAAGGTGAAATACGACTAAATGGAATGTTTCTGTGGGGTCGGAGTGAAGGGGAGGGTTCTATACACAAGGGAAGTGAAGGAACCAGGAGAGGAGCTGGAGGTGGAGGCATGTCATGCTGACTCTGCCAGTGGGAAAGCTGCTGTGTTGCCAGCTGGGGCTGGACCCTGCCTCCTAGCTACCCCATGCAGCTTCCGGACTCCTTGCTCCTAGCAGCTCTTTATCTCTCTCAAGGATAACACCCTAGCAGTGTCTGGGAGGAAGAAATTCATTTGTAGGCAAAACAATAGAATTTCACTGCAAGTCAGTCTGAGGACTAACTATGGACAGGGTGTCCCTTTGCCAGTTCCATCCAGACAGGCCATTTTTCTTTCAAAGAAACAGTTGTAGCATGTTTTGTTCAAGGGTCACTTAGCATTTCAGCTCGGGTAAATCAGACTTTGTCCTGGAACTCACTCCTGAGACTAGAGACTAGGGTGGTCTTGAACTCATGGAGATCCACCTGCCTCTGCCTGACAAGTTCTGGGATTAAAGGTGTGCACCACCACTGCCTGGCTTTATAAGTAAACACGGTTAATATTTGAAAAGAAAAGAGGATATAGTTTTTGGTTTCCTTCCTGGGTTCTTTCCTCCTTCTCCTCTTTCCCTTTCCTCCCTCCCTTCTGCCTTCCCTCTTTCCCTCTTTCCCCTCTTTCCCCCCCTACCCTTTTCCTTTCCTCCTTTTATTCTTATTTCTTTTTACTGGCTTTTTTTTTTTCCTACTTGATGTTAACTGTAGACAGTGCTGTTAGGCCAACAGACGTTCACTGTGATTTGGCACTTTCCATCATCTGGAAACTGCATACACGGCCATATTTGCCTGCACCCTGTCAAAAAACTGTGCTGACAACAAGAAAAAGGGCTTATTTGGTACATTTCACATGCAGACTTTTTCTTGGGAAGCCTAACGCCATTGTTATAAATTCTACTTGTAAGGATTTTAGTTTGCTGGTTTCTCACGATCTTCAGCTGAATGTGAGAAGCAAAGATTGAAATTTCAGAGAATATGCAAGCTAAGTACTAAGCCATTATTGGTAGATTGCTACTGGTCCCGTGGCAACATTTAGACTATGAAACTGTACATCTGCAAGTCAGGACTCTTCTTCCAGGGAGCCTGTTGTTAAATAGGTACCAGACACCAACTATATAGTAAAACTGTTCATATAAAAATAATACATAAATATAAAATGTATATATACATAACATGTATCTACACATGTATACATGCGGACATACATGTATATATGCATATATACATGTTATAGATGCACTATAAGTGTTATGATTAAGAGGTTCAGCTTTCATGAGAAATTCCTATTTCAGTCCCAATGTTTTCTGCTGCTGCGCCTGCCATGAATAGATCAGGAGGGATTTGTATGGAGTATTCCTGTCTACCCTCCAAACGAAACTGAAACTTTAGTTGATGAATTAGTTAACTGCAGCCGTAATCCCTTTGCTTCGCTAAGAAGATGACAGCTAACTACCCTTTTACCTAATGCCCACATCCTGCCGCGGTGGTCTGCGTCTGGAAGGCAGTGCTCGGGTTAAGGGAGGAGTGTGACCCCTGAGTCTTGAGTGGCCGCACCCTAGCAATCTGCTCTTCTCCATTTTCAGGACCTGGCAACCGAGTGTTAGGGGACTCCGAATGGACCTTGAGTTTCTGTCAAGGCCATTCATAGGACACGCTTTCAGAGCCTCAGCCGCCTGCCCTGTCTTCCGGGGTGCGGGGGCTATTGTTGAGGTTATGAGTTGTTGAAGTTACGGGTTGGTTAAAGCACCCAGGCCTGGGGATGCTCTTTCTCTGGCCTTGGAGAGAAGTGGTGACTTGAGGACATCGGAATTGCATGGAACAACACAGCCAAGGCCACTCTGTTCAGCTTTGTAATCATCTATCCACAATGCTGCTGGCCCACAGTTCCGCTCACGTGCCTGGTGTGAGCATGCGCAGACCCCGCTGGCAGTGCTCGGGTGCTCCGGCAAGTCTCGAATCAGGAAATAGGGCAAAAGTGCTTGGGGAGCAACACTTGGAGGGGCGGGTCCTGCTTGAAATTGTACTTAAACGCTGAGAATGTGGGTTGTTAATCGGCTGTTGGGTAAAATTATGAAAGGCTGGTAGACTTCAGTGGCTTTTGTTTCACTGACAACAATCTGGGTTAGTTCTGTTTGCTTCCTGGTGAGTATGCCATTTGACAGAATCAGGAGGGCCTTTTTGTTCCCTCGGACCTCCACTTTACAGGTAAGGGGACTGACGTGCCAGAAGTCATGGAGCTGGTGAGGCGTCCCCAGGATGACTGGCACACGAATCTGGCAGCCCCAAGGCTGTTCCTTATAGACTTGCCAGCTGTAGTGAACACTGCACTTCCACGTGGGCCAGAGCGCTCCCTAAACACATGGGTAGCCGTGTGCTTGCAAAGACACCGCGAAGCAGGAGGTGCCACGGGGGATGTTTCGGTTCTCTGAGAATGTTAGCATAGATTGTGTGGTGGCATTACTGAACTCAGCACACTCCACTCACTAACTCACCCCAAAGATACCGTCACTTGTCTTCATTGGTTCTAACCAGAGTCAATCACAGGCTGCTTACACTGGGTCGTCCTCCTTTGGCTGTGTTCCCCCACACAAATATCCGCCCCATCTGCCATGCAGTTCTCCTATGGGATAGTAACTAACCTTCACCAATTGGGTAGGTTACTTTGTTAGCTACAAGACTGACAGCACATAATGATCATGGCTTGGGGAAAAAAGCTGCAAATATCTCTGCAAAAAGGCACAGGAGTTAGAATTAGAGGACTAACATGATTGCAGTGACTCCCTCTGCATTGGAGTTTTGACTTGTCTGAAGGTAGTGTTTATGGTTTTGAGTATTAGAACGACACAATTGAATTCTCCCCAATTGGCTAACTTAGTCGATAAGCAGCCCAAAACTGACCTGTAAGAAATCACGTGAGATGATCATAACTCATGTCCTTTTCCTATGCTTGGCGGTTTTTACTCAAAATTAAAGACTAACCTCAACGCTAATATGCTACTTGTGTAATTTAAATTGATCCTAGAAGAATCACATGAAGGGGCTGAAAACAATGTTTTCAAATCATTTAGAAGTGACAATTTGGCCAGATTCAATAAAACACTAAAACCTATAGTAAAGAAGCACCAAATAAAAACCTGGATGTAAAACAAATACATCCAATGATTTGAAAGTCTGCACTTTACCAGGTATGGCAGGCACACACCTTTAATCCCAGCACTCAGGAGGCAGAGGTAGGTGGATCTCTTGAGTTCCAGGACAGCCTGGTCTACAGAGTGAGCTCCAGGACAGCCAGGGCTACAACAGAGAAACCCTGTCTCAGAAAATAAAACAAAAAACCAAAAGCAAACAATAACAACAAAACAAAATTAAAAAAACAAAATAAAGAACACAAAAAAGCCTGAAAAAAAATGCACTCTGTTTTGCAACATTCATTTTATATTTTATTACACCTGCGTAGCCACTTACATTTAGTTAGTTACTCCAAAAATATCACCCACCCAGTGTTCTTCATCCCACACTGTGACTTTGGGCATTGGTTTTCCCATAAGGTTAACCCTAGAGAAAGTTAAGTTAGACAACAGGATACTGAAGTGTCTTGGTGACTGAGCAGTCTAGATTTTTCCTTCTGGTCAGATGAAGTAATATACTTAATGATTCTTTGCTAAAACCCTCTCTTCTTTCTTCCCTCTTTGGGTAACATTTCTATCTTGAGGACAGCCATTACAACTGAGTAGTAAAAGGAATGGCCTTAAAAATCTTTAGTACCATATTGGTCAGAATCTAAAAGGAGGCTGAGTCCTCCAGAGTCATTCCCCTGTCCTACTGTACTGAACCTACTCCGCAGTGTCCTCATAGATCCTCTTTCTTTTTGAGAATGATTTGCCCAATCATTTTTGATATATGAGGTCTGATGGCTTCAAAGGGTTCTTCTGGCCTCCAGAACTTCACAACTTGTCCCTCAGGGTTGACCAGATACTTCCAAAAGTTCCACATTGGCTCCTTCTTGGAAGAATCTAAAACATTCAGAATATATTTTCATGAGCATCATTTTATTCTTTGTTGAGATTTTCAGTTTTATTAATATCTGCATAAATTACTATTAAAATCACGTTATAGGACTGTTATTAAGAACAAAACAAAAGACCTCCACAAGAGCAGGGAGCAAGGCTGCTGTAACCAGACTTCAATATACTTGACTTCATAGGTGGCTGCCCTGACCTAGAGTCAGATCATGAAACAAAGCTCCATATTGTAGATTTGTGGATCTAAACACATTTTCTTTCTTTCTTTTCTTTTTTTTTTGTATGCTATGTAGTCTAAGCTGTACTTGAACCCCATGACTCTTCTGACTCAGTCTCTTGGATGCTAGGACTAAAGGGTGAGGGGTACTAGGTCCAGCAAGACCTGACAACTTTAACATTTAGTTCTTAATCTTTGCATAGCCCAGGCTGGCCTTAAGTTCACTACGTGGCTCAGGCTAACTCTAAACTCACTATGTAGCCAAAGCTAACCTTGAACTCTTGATCCTCCAATTTCCACCTTCCCAGTACTGGGATTACAGGTGTTTGCCACCATGTCAGGCTGTTCTCAACATTTTAAAATATAAAATATTCTTGGTAATATAAAATATAAAATATTCTTGGTAATAGAAATGTATGAATTGAGTTTTAATGTTTCAAATATTATGTATTGTATAGCTGAAAATGGCAAGGGGGTTGAAAAGACCACTTAATTTGCTTAATTTACATAACAAGTGTGGGTTTTTCATTTTTATATAATAATCCAGATCTATGTCCCTAATACTGATGACTAAGAGAAAAAGATAGAGTAACTAGGGGTTGGAGAGATAGCTCATTGTATAAGAGTGTGTACCGCTCTTGCAGAGGACCTGGTTTCATCCCCAGCATCCACAGGGGGCTCACAACCATTTGTGACTGCAGTTTCAGGTGATCGGATGCTTTCTTCTGGCCTCCCTGTGCAAAAGGAACACATGTGCAAAAACATGCACACAGGCAAAATGCTCATATACGTAAAAAATAAAAGTATCCCTTAAAAAAGAGACAGCAACTAAAACTGGAATCATCAAGTCCTTACTTGGTGTGTAGTCAAGTGTGTTCGGGGAGTTCAGTGTTTCTAGAAACCCCCAGAGGTGAGTATTGCTATCTTCAACATTCTATGTATGAGAAGAACGAAGGCCTGGATTCGAGACCGTGTAGCCATCGAGGCAGAGTTGATCCCTTCTTCCAGAATCTGTAGATTTTGCCTCCAGTTTAAGCTCAGTGAAACCTCACACACTGTTTGTTGCCTTTTTGGTCAAGTGAGATGAGTTGGGTTCCACAGTTTTGTTTTTTATTTTCCCTCCAAAAAAGCTTAAGTGCTGTAGTATGTGACAGAGTTCTTGTTCGATTCTGTTTGGATGCTTAGCTCAAGGAAGGGCTTGTGCTCCCCCTTTTCTGTGGAGCCCAGAAATAAAAGCCCCAGAGTTCCTGTTCATTGCTTTTGTGTGCTTTAAATAGATGACTGTGGCTAGCTTAATTACAGAGGAACCCTCACATGACTGACTTCTGAAAATAAATTATTTTGCCTTGAATTTCATCCAAATCCCGGTAAACTGACAGGTAAACCTTGAGGATAATGTCTCAGATAAAAAGGCCATCATAAAACTAAACATAAAGATATATTCAGTTAATGATGCTCTGCCACAGACAGTCATAGGCTCATTGGATGATGGGCTGGTTGAAACACTTAGGGAAAGCTGCTGTGGCCACCCTTCATATAGAGCCTTCAACATGGTTATAGGAAGAAACCCATATCAAAGTAGAATACTTTACCATCTAAGAAGTCAAAACATCAATTTCAGGGATGTATAACTTCTAGAAAGTTGCAAAGGGTGAGGTTCTGGATCTTTAACAGTTTTATCCTAATTTCCCAGTAAAATATTCTAAATGGAATAGGAACTATGGTCCTGATACACCTATATATCTTTCTCCATATCACTTACATATAATGTATGAAACGAGAAGAAATGAACAACATTGAGGCAGAGTGGATATTTACCAACAAGAAATCTAAACGCAGGTTCTGCTTCCGGCCCTAAAATCTTAATCTTGTGGAAGATGGGGAATGTGACTCCGTAGTTTTTTCTTGCAAAATATTCTACCTCCTTGCTGGACCTGGGTTCGGATTCTCCAAACTGATTGCATGGAAAAGCCAGGACGTTGAAGTGATAGGGCCCAAACTCCTTTTGCAGTTCCTTGAGGGTCAAGTAACTGTTGTCCGTGAATCGGCAGTCACTAGCCACGTTTACAACTAGGGAAGCCTCCCGGAAAAAGAAAAAAAAACCCACCGGAAAGAGAAGCAAAAGATTAAAAAAAATCCTTCAAGCAGTTAAACCCCAAACCATTTTGGGAGGGTACAACCTCTGATAGATTCCGTATTTTTAGATCCAACTTTATTGAAAACCATAACCCAGATGCATGGGTGATGAACTCTGACAGAGTTCTAGTTAGATTATGTAACTAACAGGATTGGCGGGTCTCAGCATAGCACTCAGCATCTCCAGAAAACAGCACCAGTTCCGCACAAAAGAGAAGGCAGCTTTGGAGAAAAACAGTAGTTTTATGGATTGAGAAGTTAAAAGTTCTAAGAACTCTGATAACATGTAACGAGATTACTTTGAAAACTACATTCCAACTTAACGGCTGTAGCGAACCCTACTCTACTGTGAGAGTAAGTATCAAAGCCGAGGATCAGCAGAAATAAAAAACCCCAAGACTTACTTTGCCTTTGAACTTTTCCAGAGACACCATCCTTCCTTTGGCATCCTTCACTTCAAAGGAATAGAAGCTGTTGATTCTCGGCTTCAGGAATTTGAATTGCAGGAGAAAAAGCACCACGGTGCACAGAATCATAGACAGCAAAACTGCAAATATCTTTGCTTTGGGCCCGGAACATTTTAGTGGGTACGCGGCGAGAGGCTCCATCTTGGATGATTCCAGCAGTCTCAGCAAGCTGGAATTCAAGGAGGGGCCGAAACTTGAAACCCGCCGAGTTTAAGGAGAACCGGAAGGGCTTACAGTCGCTCTGGCCGCTGACTAACAGGAGGGCCCTTCCCAGAAGAACCAAATGAAGCCAGAAACGTGACAGAATTTCAACATATTTGTAATGTGGCTGCAACGTAACTTTTTTTTTGTTTTGTTTTGTTTTGTTTTTTGGCTAGAAAATTGGTATTGTTTTAGCGGATGCTTAACACGTCCCTGGGCTAAGAAAACGTTTCACCAGCAGGTGGTGCTCTTGTTTTTTGGAAATGGTTTATCAGTCCTGCTGGGCATCCCGTGCTCACTGAGCAACAGATGGGGGGTTGGGGACTGAATAACACCCAGGGATAGTTTGAAGTGTGGATTAATGTGGTCTGTTAATATGACGTGGCACCACAAAGAACTCGAAATTCTATGTATTGACTGTACTATATGGATACGAAGAATGTGTAACAGAGCAACGAACATCCGAAGAGGCCGTTCTACTTACTCTGACTTCATCGAGTGAAGGCAACCAGAGGCTAGGAGAACACAGCAAAAAATAGAAGGCCATAAAGGCGCAACTCTCCTTTTCTATCAGAAACTAGAACAGCTTTCTTTTTCAGAGCTTTATCACTACCTCTGGCAAGATTTTTACTTTACAACATAACCAAACGCAGACACAACACACCCGCACAGACACACACTTACACACACAGGTACACACACATATGCACACACACACATAAGCACATACACACATACATACACCCATATACACACTCACACATGCATATCTCCAAACATACATACACTCTCCACGTACCTTCCCCCACATACACACATAAGCCCCACATACATACGCACATATGCAAACACATGCTACACACATACACCATTAAGAAGTTACATGAAATAATTCTTTGAATTACTCTTTAATCCTGCCCATCGCACTTTTGAGCTGGTACGGCTCTGGCCTATGAAAATGATTTTGTGACTCACCAATGTATTCTAACTTATAGATGGAAAAATACTGGGCTATAGCCTTTTTACAGGTAAATAGCAGAATTCGACCATAAACTCAAAACAAAACTGCAAACCCACATCTATTCGGACCCACTCACCAACAGCTGTATCTTTCATCTTCACTTTTCTCTTTGGATATAGCCTATTAAATGACCTTTGCTCTGAAGGTATTAGGGATGGAAACTGGAGGCAGTAAGGACTGCAGATTACTCAGTTGCTTTAGGATCTGCCCTGGTTACCACACAGGAAATTCTGAACTAAGACATCATCCACTTGGTGCCACTGTGTGTTTCCAGGAAGTCAAGAGTGAGCTGAGACAGCTGGTTTTTCCTCCCTCCTGGTGCTTTCGAGGGTCTGCTTGCAGTTTTTGGGCTGTGTGTGTTCAGGGGTACTTGAGAAGAGCCTGTAGTTTAGGCCTAATCTTAGGTAAAACCGGCAAGAGAAACCACTCGACTCCTCCCCGACTGCTGGATAAGAAGAGATGGAGCCGAGCTGGGCGTGGCGGTGCCTGCTGGTAATCCCAGCACTACAGCAGCTGAGGTGGGAGGATCGTGTTTTGCAGCAGTCTGGATTACAGAGAGTGCCTGTCTCAAAAAGAAAACCAACCAACCAACCAACCACTGCCACCGTCATCACTGCCACCACCATCACCATACCACCATCACCATACCACCACCACCAAAACCCAAACAAACAAGAATGGACACAATAGAAAAAAAGATCATGTAGAAAATATTCCCTTCTAAACATATTTTCAGTAAAGAGCAAAAGTGACCAGAAACTCAGCAGTTACTAAGTGTGATAGTTTTACTCTGCTGTAGTCTAGTTGGGTTGTTCAAAGGCCTTGCCTGTCATCACGTTCCAGCATTCCTTTGTCACTCAGACACTCTGGTCTTACTCTCCGGGTGGGATCCTGGGACCTGTTACCTGACCTTCACTAGCCCATCCAAGCTCTCCTGACTTAGGATTTTCATTTTTATGGTATCTTGTCACGATGCACGTGCTCCAGAGCCTTTACACTGGAATCTCTTCTGGTTCCAGGAAGGGTGTGTGGCGCATCTCCACGAACACACTTGATACTTTATCTGCGTCATCAGGCAATCCACCTGGATGTCTGGGGAACTTGCGCTTTACAAAGTTAACCCACAGACGAAATGCTGATACTTGAAAATCTGAACCATGAGATTCCTCCCTTTGAGCTAGGAAACCAGGGCGGCCACCTCCACGAGGGGTCTTTTTATATAGGGTGGTGATATCTTGAGAAGATGGTTGGCAGAGATTCACCGAGTGCTCCTGAGTGGAATGGGTTTGAGAAGGCTGTGCAGGCACTCACTGCATAAGCCAGCATACCAGAGAACTCAGCAACCATTCAGGTCTGAGGCACATGCCGGTCTGATCCGAAAATTTCCTGTAGATGAACACTTTAAAATTTTTTATTTAGTCAATGTTACCGTCTATCATCTATGTATAGATGTATGCTTGTGTATGTGTGCCTGAGCATCGCTGCCTACGTGTAGAGGTCAGAGGACAACTTGTAGGAGTTGGCTCTCCTCCTATCATGTGGATCCCTGGGAGTTGAACTCAGGTTGTCAGATTTGGTGGCAAGCCATCTTGCTGACCCTGGCTTTTTTTTTTTTTTTTTAAATGGGAACTTGCCGTGATGTCCAGACCAGCTTTGAGACTGAGGGCTCCTCTGGTTCTCCTAACTCAGCCTCCCACAGAGCGGGGACTGTAGGTGGCAAGTTCGTATTTCTTATCAAGGGTGAACTTAGAGTCTAGGTGTTAATTTAGTGGTCTTTAATGTTTACGCGGGTCAGACACCGAAAGTGTGTCACACACATTCCTAGGCAGACCCACTAATAAAATATTCACAACAGTTCGGCAGAATCTTGCCCTGGACAGTGTGGGATGAACACAGATTTGGGAGGCTTTCTCCGTGAACGATCTAATATCGTCTCTCAGCTGCTGGGGATTCGTCACTATTGTGTGGGCGTTCTGCCTGTCCTAGACTATTCTCAGACAGCACGTTTCACGTTCTTGGCAGAGGGATGGTAGTCCAGAATACTTACCAGCATTCTTTTAACAGGTTAAGGAGGGTTTTCTAAGTGGGAGGAAGGGTTACTGAGAAGGCTGTCAAGGCTGGGGAAAGGACCCCAAGTGATTGATGTGCTTAATTAGTCACCTCAGACTTTGCAAAGGACGTGAATAAAGTGCAAATGAAGGAGCCAGCCGTGGACAAACTGAAAATCAATTGAGGCCATACAGGGGTACCCAGGAAATGGAAATGGAGGTCAGTAAGGAGCTTGGCGCTGAATAAGTCCCTCATGTTTTCAGCTTCACGCTACATTTTACAGAGAAAATAACTTGCTAATGAGCTTTGTTCTGCATGCTGTCCTCCCCTCCCTCCCTCCCTCCCTGTCCCTGTCTGTTTCTCTCACTAACACACACTCAGTCTAACACAAATAGGAAGGAGTTAACCCAGCTAAGATCAAAGAGCTAGTGAATGTAGCAAGAATAGAGTTTAGCATCTTCAGCTCATAACTAGTAAGCTTCCGTACTTATAGGGTAATGAGTGATGTAATACATAAATACATTGTATAGTGTTTAACATGTTATACCGTCAATCATGTGATGAAAAATCCAAAGTATTTTTTTTAAAGATTTCCTTATCAATAGAATATTGACAGTTTCAGTTTGGGTTATATTTCCCACCAAATATATAAAGGCATTGCGAGTATTACAATGGAATACAATGGAGTAATACAATGGAAAAATTGGTGTGTGTTCATGATGTATGTTTCTGTACACATGTGCCATGGCATGGCACATGTGGAGCTCGGAGGACAACTTTGTAGAGTCATTTTTTTCCTTCCACCTTTATGTGGATTCTGGAGATTGAACTCAGGTCCCCAGGCTTGCACAGCAAGTACTCACCCACTGTGTCATCTCACCCAGCTCAGATTTTGGTCTTTCTATCTGTTCTGAAATAGTCCTGAGACTCTGATTTTCTAGTGTCCTGCGGTGAGGATGCCGCTTCAGTGTGTGCTGCTGGCTGTGTGGCCAGGCTGTGGTAGGGGGAGGTGGGGCATGCCCCACAGCCCCGGGACCAGCTTTGTTATTTCTGTCTTTGCTGGGAGATTTTTCTTTCTCGCTTTCCTTCTTCCTTCCTTTGCTTTCATTCTTTCTTTTAAAATTACGTTCATTTATTCACTCATTTACTTGTGTGTGTGTATGTGTCATGGCACACTTGTGGAGACTGGAGGACCACTTGTAGGACTCAGTCCTCTCCTTCTACCATGTGGGTCCTGGCGATGACCTCAACTTGCCAGGTGTGGAGTCAGCACTTTACCTGCTCAGCCATCCTGTCACTCATGAGATTCTTAACAAAACTCCATCACCAACATGCCCTTCCTGGATCTTTCAGGTTTTTCCCCGCCCACCGAATATTTGTGTGTCACAGCGTTTATCTCCAGGCCTGTTTGTCTCTGTTTTCTTGGTTGCTTCATTCTGCGACTTCCTGGCCTCATTTTTAACCTTTCTCGGTTCCTTTTTATTTATCTCGGGCTCCGGATTCCTCTCTGTATAATGTCACCACGATGTGTCCACTCAAGGTGGACAAGCTGAGCTGATGGGCTTCATCCCTTTCCCTCCTTTGTCTTATTTTTCTTATCTTCCTCTTCCTCTCTATTAATAAATACTTGAGTCATTTAAAACTATGCGACAGGCATTTCCTTAGCAGGAGATAGGTCCTAAAACAAAAGCTCAAAAACATCAAAGATGATATGGCTGAGTCCGCAGCCAGGGCTGTCTATGTGCCACCTCTGTGTTTTCTGTATTTGCATATCATTTGTTATGGCCTTCACATTTTAATGTAAATATATTCATCTACCTTAATTGAATTAATTTTTGCATGGGCAAAATCTAAATTAATGCTGAAGGGCTAAAGCGTTCGTTAGAACATTGCATTGAAACGCCTAACTCTATTCCCAACCGAAGGGCTGACTGAGACCTGTACCTTCGGTTCATGGGTCTCTCGTGGGAAGATCATTGCTTTCAAGAAGAATCTGCCTTTTCCTTTCATTGGCCCAGGTGTTGGCATGGGGACTTTATAAAAATAAACTTTCTTTCTCACCGTCACTTGCATTTCTTTAACTATTTGGAGGCAGCTCCTTCTGTGTCTCCTTTCTTCTGGACCGGTACTCTGGCTTCCCTTGCTGCATGCTGGGTGCTGCTCCATCTCAGCCTCTCTCCATGTGGACCCAATGGACTTGGCTTTTCAATCCTGGTGTATACACGTCTTCTCTCCCCCCTTTTTTCTTCCTTCTTCTCTTCTTCCTCAGCCCATATATTTTTTTTTATTTTGAAATATTAAAACATGCCAAAAGTATATATAATGGATCTACATCTTAATAAAAACAATTAGGGGAAAAAATTCTGGCCAAGTGGTGCAAAGCCTTCCTTGTAATTTCAGGTTTGGGGAGACAAAGGCAGGAGGACCTGGAGTCTGGAGTTCAAGACTGGCCTAGACTTTCCAGTGAGAACTTACTTCCCTTTATTCCCCCAAAGCAAATAGTCTACCCACCATGTCCAACCTGAAGCCCAGTGTAACCCTGAAAGTGTCTCACACAAAGCTCTAAGCTTATTTAAACACTATATGATTGATTTTTTTTGCCACGCCCTTCCCCTAATGATCAAGAATGAACATTGTAGATGACAAGGTTCTGTCACAATGTCGAAAGGTTGGGCACGCCTGCCAGGTCAAGAAATGGACTATCTTACCCCCAGCCCTGGGTTTGTGACACCTTTCCCTCCTTCCTGTGTGTTCTGTTAGAGCCCCTGCGTACATCCTGCTACATGCTTTGTTTCTCCTGTCCATGTACTTGACTTAAATGATATTATACTATTTCCTGTTTTTCTTACTATCTTATAAGCCTCATGCTATTCTTTATATGGAGCTGCAATTCATGTTTATTTTATAGTATTGGATTTTATAAATATACCAGAGTACCCATTCTCCTGTTGACCAGCTCCCTTCCCAAAGCACAATTCTGACCCTGGACATCAATCTTCAGTTGAGTGCTGACTGCTACAGAGACAGAGATCTTGCTTTCTCATTTTAGACACTATTTCTCTGTTTAAGAAAATATTTTAGCTAGGCATGGTGGTGCATACCTTTAATCCCAGAACCCAGAAGACAAAGAGACACGTGGATCTCCATGAACTCCAGCCCAGCTTGGTCTACAAAGTGAGTTTCAGGACACCCAGAGCTGTTACACAGAAAAATCCTGTCCCTACAAACAAACAAACAACAAAAAAGTGTAATTGTCTGCGTCTTTATACACACGCACACACACACAAACATATATATGTTTATTTATATATGTGGTATATATACTTCAAGGTGCTCTTGAAGGCCAGAAGAGGGCAGCAGATCCTTTGGAGTTAAAGTTACAGGGGGTTGTGCAGCCTCCAGTGTGGGTGCTGGGAACTGAACTCTGGTCGTCTGCAAGAGTAGTACTCCGTCTACACTGATGGGACCTAAGACTGCACAGATTTAAAAAAAATTGCATTGCTTTCAGCCACAGTAGCCATCTTCCAGTAGTTAGCCAAAATGAGAAATGGAAGGGCACTTGCTCTATGGCCCCTAGGTCTTTTAGGAAACACACAATTGTTTCTTTGGTCCCATACATACAAAGCTACAGGAAGGGTGATACTGCAGCCATCAAGGGAGTGGCACTGTTCAAAAAGGAATGCCCCGTAAGTAGTACCAGCCCACACTACCCAGAGAGGTACACTTTGTGAGGACTGACGGGAAGGAGGCTGAGCAGCTGGAGCCCATTGCATACAAGTTCAAGGTCTGATGTACAAAAGAGAAATGCGGCACCCAGATTGTAAAGTGTTTTTAAGTTGAAGTATGGTTTCTTCTCCTTGAAAGAAAACGTTAACGAGGAAAAAAAAAAGTAATTACACCAGACTGTAAACTGACCTGTTGCTTTTGCAGAGTGGCACCTCTGCCCCATGCAGGGCACAGCTCTCACGGAGCTGGAGCAACCCTGCCGTGCTTTGAGCTCTGACATGTCTAGTCCCTGTGCTTCAAGCACCTGCCTTGTCTTTGACCTTTCTACGTAGCTCTAGCCCTCACTAAGTACATTCCCGGAAACCCGGACCTTCGTCTTCTATCTTACCACCCCGGGGCAGGGCACTTGGTCTTGTTATTGAGGAAGTATGAAAGAATATTTGTCTTGGGGGAGCATTTTCTTAGGTGTTTTAATATATCACTGGTCAGTCTGGACACGTTATCAGTATTCTTGGGTGTCCTTTATTTGTCCCTGGGTAGTTGTGTTTGTTTGACATGCCAGCACTCTTCCCTGTGCCATTGACATTATACTCCAGTTTATGTGAAAGGTCTTTATTTTATCTTATCCAACCTGAAGCTTGTTCCTGACAAAGAAGAGAAAGGACGATCTTTTCATAGTCTCTGGACTCTTTCTTCAATCCTTTCTGCCTTCAATTATTTTGGCTTGAAATGCAAAAGATATTTAGGCTCTAGAGAACCAAGGAAATTTTGAACAAGAATGACTGTCTTCCCTCCAATTTGGCAGCTCCTCCCTGTTTTGGTCTCCACGTGTCTTAGATGTCATGGTTGGGAGTATAGATATTGTCAGGATATGGCCTACAGATATGGTTTGCTTAGTCCTTAAAGTTCCAAACCTCAGAGCTAGCAAGAAAGTTGGAGAGGAAGCTGCCAGTATTCACCAAAGTGTCACATCATAAGCTTTATTTCACACTGATGTGAGATGAAGACCAGTCAAATAGAATGACTTTCTAAACTATTTGGTATATGTGAAAACCACGGATGGAAGCTGTGCTTATGAAATGATGTTTTGGTGTTTAAAAACAATAGAAAAAATCCTCCAGAGTCACAAAAGTTAAATCTCATATAAGTGTTGTTCTAGATAAATAACATGCGATTTTATTGGAAGCAACTTTTACCTTTGCTTCTTCGCGCCCACTGGAACTCACAGCTTTCACTGTTGCTCAACAGGCCTTTGAGTGTGTCACCCCCACATACTCCAGCTTCAAGAGCAACTTTGTGAAGAGGCTGTCTGCAAAGATTCCTGTGGCCAGCAGCCCAGTCACCACCAGATGGCAGCCCAGCCCAGCCAGGGACCTAGTAGTCTGTTCCTCTGCACAGGAGGGCTCTCCCTCCCACATCCCAGAATCTTCCAGACCTGTGCTGAAGAGAACGGCATCAGCGGACACCCAGACTCTAAGTGAGCCCAGTTTTAGGCTTTTAGCCAGTTTGCTAGTTTGCACATCAAGTCCAGATGTGGGTTGTACAAGCACAGGAGCTCCCACAGGCCATGTTTAGTTTGACACACATTGTGTTTCTAACCTTTCTATAGTGTAGTAATTGCCATGTTCATACATATGTTGTACTTTAAATATGGCTTGGAGAACGAATATATGTGTGTGTGTGTGTATGTATACATTCTTACAGGCATGTATTTCTGAATATTCTTTTGTTTTCAAGACTCTAGAATGTTAATGACTTTGATAAGTTTTCCGGTACATGAGAGTCTGAAAAAAAATATTTATAATGATATAATCAAGTTGAAATAGAAGCAAAGATGAAAGCAGGAGAGATGAGAGGAAACAAATGGAAAGTAGAGGAAGCAAGAGAGAAGTAGAAGGAAGACATTGTGATGCTCGCCCTGGGTGCTGGTGGGTAGGGTTTGCGTGCGTGGGGTGGGGGAGACCACCCTTCCTCCCACCCAAGCCCTGATATTATTAGCAGGATCCGTGATTTACCAGTCAGATCCTGAAATGGCTCTTTTTGGGATATTCTCATCGGGGACTATCCTTTGTAATTTCCATTCTTCAGGAGCAAAGTTTTCCACATTTCATCTACTGTCTTAATTCTTGTTCTACCCCTTCAAATGTCCCATGCAACATGACTTGTGACTTAGCATCTTTTCACTTCTCTCTCTCTCTTTAGATAGGGTCTTGCTGTATAGCCCTGGCTGGCATGGATCTCATTATGTAGTTCAGGCCTCAAACTTGCCACAGTTCTCCTGCCTCAAGCCTTCCAAGGGCTGAGTTGACAGGCCTGAGCCACTGTGCCCAGCTCAGCATGCTTGTTAGGACTGGTGTTGGCAGTCACCCCAGCATCTTCCTGAGGCATGTCAATGGTGCCGAAGACAGGCAGGAATGCAAATCTTTATAAACCAAGGAATTTACCACTTAGTGACAAGTACCACCACCAGAATTACCTGACTGTGGCGGGAGGAGTCTGAGGATTGTAGGAAATCTTTTGTGTTCCAGTGTGATTGAGGAAGTTTGGATAGTCATTGTTTTAGAGGAATTTCTTGCTAAAATTAGGGGCTTCCTGAATCTTTCCGAGTTTGAAATTAACTCACCACTTGTTTCTTAATAATAAAAATAATAACAAAACCAGTGTGTGAAAAATGGAAAATGTCACCCAACAGATTGTTAATCAAAAGGAGTTTGCATGAAAGCATTCCATCTCTCCTTTAGTTAATCCTGAGACACAACCACACACATGGATCCTAAGCACTTTGCTGGAGGTGTTTCATTTGTTTCAGAAGCGCACATTCAGAAGGTCCTTCTATCCCCTGTCTGTAGAGAAATCTCTCTGCAGAGAGATTCATTTGCAGTTATGCTCTGTGCAAAAATTGTTATCGCCTGCTTTCTGAGGTTAGAGACTCTGACAGCTTCTCTGCATAGCTTCCCCCTCTTTTTTAGTATTTGTGTGTGTGTGATCACGTGCTATGGTTTTTATATGGAAATCAGAAGACAACTTTGTGGAGTTGCTTCTCTCCTTTCAGCTTCATGTGGGTTTTAGGGATTGAACTCGGATTGTCAGGCTTTCATGACAAGTATCTTTATCTATGGAGCCATCTTGCTGGCTTTGAACCTAGCTTTTCTTTTGTCATTTGAGGTTCTGAGGCTTAACCTTTTCTCCCTATTCTTCTAAAAATAGCATATTAATAAAATGTTTTAAAGGAAGGAGCCTTGAGGGATATTTTATGTTTACATCCTCTCTCCTTCCTTAAACTAGTGTCCATCTCTTACATTTTTGGTTCTGGGAACTGGAGTGCCAGGCTGTAAGAACCCAAATGACAGTTCCTCAAGCTTATAGTTCTTCAAATGCAGAAAGGATTGTCATTTGTCCAAAGCTCAAGCTTTTCTGGAGAGCCCTTGACCCCGATGATATATATGGTAGATATTAATTTTTGATATATATTGTAGATATTTAGTCTTTGAGGATGGCTTGACAGGCATTCATTTGAAGTAAAAAATTTGGTAAAGGACTTTTTGAATCTTGATAAAAAATATATTCTAGTTTCATTTCTGTTGCTTGACAGTACTCTGGCCAACAAACAACAAACAAACAACAAAATACTTAGGAGAGGAGGGGTTTATTTATCTTACAATTCCAGGTCACACTCCATCATTTTGGTAGGCAGGATCTTTAAGCATCTAGTTTTATCATGTCCAAGAGCAGAGAGGGGATAAGTGTATGTGTACATGCCTACTTGATTGTTATCTTGTGCTTGGCTCCATTTCTTTACTTGTACACAGTTCAGAATCCCCTGCCTAGGGAATGGTGCTACCCACAGTGGGCTAGGCATTCCCACACCAATTAACTTAAGATAGTCTCCTACAGGCACAACACAGGCCAACCTCATGAAGACAAAACCTCAGTGACACTCTCCTCCCAGGTAATTGTGACAAGTTGACAGCTAAAGCCGATCATCATATAGAAACATATGAAAAATATTGTGTAAATAAAATTGACTTCTATTACTTAGAAAGTATTTACTATTGCTATTCCCAACTACTTTTATGACATTTTTCTGTAACAGGAAGGGGGAGGCAAGGTGATGCCCTAAGGATCTGTAGTGAAGACCAATGACTCACTCTGGCATTTCCTCTTGGCTCTGGAGGCCACTGGGGCAGTTTCTTGTGATGGCTCATGCACGAGTCCAGGGCTTTAACTAAGGCCCTGTCCATTCCTCTTTTTTCCCCCCTAGAATTTGGTGGGAGAACTCAGGCCTTCACATTCTAATCTACTGAGAAAGATGCAGCTAGCAGATTACTAATCCACATGACTGTGCTGTTATAAAAGCCAGCTTCAAGGCTAAATGACTTTCTTTCAGGATCCCACAACAAAGAATCACCGAAAACCCCAGCCAAAGGAATCTCTGAAATGAATAACTCCACTCTCTATTTTTGCAAGGCACCTCATTCAGAGGACAGAGGTGGAAAGGAAAATGTTGCCACCAAAGGCCAGGTAGGAGAAGAAGGCCCACACCCTGAGGAGCTTGGAAAACTGAGTTTTGAATATGGGGGTGGGGTGGGGGTTGCTTAGGTGCCCTTAGGAACTAGTAAGAAAACCATGAAACAAGTGAAAGACATGAATAGAGACACTTAACAAAAGAAAAATATCCCCCCTAGGACAAGAGGAAGTGTTGTAAGGACCACTCAGAGTGCAAAGGGGAACAACCACAAGAGAAGGGAAGATTGAAAATGTAGCAAGATTAGATACACATGCTTCCACCCAGCCAGCCAGCGGGGTGACTTGGTCTGTCCTAATGGGGCCGCCTAAAAAGTTCCTCAGCAGGAGTTTGTTTCTTCCTCTAACACAGATTTTCTCATGAGCTCCTTTCAGTTGAGAAATTTTATGTGACCCGGGGGGATATAAGTATATGGAATGAGCATACAAACCAAACATTTCCTAACAGCAAATCGTGAGAATTGCGATTTTAAAACATTTCCGATTATGCATGTGGCCTTATCATTTGTGAAGACTAAAGCAAACTTGCATGTTAATGACATGGGCGTGCTTGTTTATTTTGACATAAACATTAAACCTCAGCCGAATGGCTGAAATTAGAGGACGCAGAAGAGTTTTAGGATCTTTCAGATTTGATTTGGTGTTTGATTTTATAACTCTCGGTGCTGAGGATGCCGCTTTGTGTGAATAAATAGTGCAAAATGGCAGAAGCATGCTTAGGGCCATTTCAGAAATTGTTAGACATTCTGCCAAAATTCATTCATTGATTTTTTTTTCCCCCTAAGTGAAATTCAAGTTGGGAATTCAAACAGCAGTTTTTAAAATCAAATATTGTAACATAAATACAACCCAAAGGCATACTTCTTTGATACTTGGTTGCCGAGGAATGATAGTGGGAAAATACTAGTTTTTCTTAACGAAATGCTAGGTTCCTGTAAGACCAGAGAACCTCGTATGCGTGGTCAGGATGCTGCTGTTCACACTGCGCACCAGACTTGAATCTGAGCTGAGCTGGGATGTGTGGGCCGGTGTTTGCTGACGTCACGTGACATGCCGGACTTCTCAGTGCAAAGCGCCCATTCTGTGTGTTCGGAGCCGAGGCTGTGGTGAAGCTGTGTGAGGCAACAAGAGCAATCACTGAGGGAAACAACTTAGATCCCTTATGCATTCGATTTTGAATTACCTTTTGGTCATCGCATACTCAGAAACCCTTCACCGCTGCTGAATACTTCTCAGCCCCCACCTAACCTCTGTTAAAGAAACTATGCGCCTAAGCCAGTGCTTCTCAACCTGTGGGTCGTGACCCCTCTGGCGGTCAAATGACCCTTTCACAGGGGTCGCATATCAGATATCCTGCATATTAGATATTTGCTTTATGGCTCTTAACAGTAGCAAAGTTATAGTTTGGAAGTAGCCGCAAAATAATTTTATGATTGGGGTCACCACAATTACAGAGTCACTGGACTTTTCTGTCCTCCCATCCACACTGTTGGCGATAGAGTTGGTGGCTCGGTGGACACACAGTGGACTTGGCAGGACGCCTCTTGAAGCAGTTCTTAAACAGAAGCCCGGTGTCACTGAAGAGGCGGGGCAGACAATCTTGGGAACAGTGTTACTGTGCAGTGGCGTCTGCTGTCATGATTAGATGGAGATCAGACAACCTTCAGAGCGGCGAAGACAGCTCGACAGGAAACACATGCCATCTTCCTGGGATCCTCACTGATCCCCTGGAGGGTGTTGTCGCAGCATGAGCCTGAGTAGTTATTGAAACTTCCAGAACTCATATTAATTGATCTGGTCCTCAGTTGCTAGTGGCCAGTTGCTAGTGAAGGTATCATATAGACCTCACATAAGAAAGGTTACCTGTGGGCACCTACAGATCGGATGTTGGACGACGCCTTTGTCAGCTCTGTGGGATTGTCTGGGTTTCTGAAGAGATGAGTCTATAAAGTCTTTTACATCTGAGACAGACACCACACTGAGCTACTGACCAGCAGGCTGGTTAGGGATGTTGTTTTATGTCAGTGGTTCTTAGCTAAGAACTGTTCTCTGCCCCATGGCACATTTGGTGTGTTTTCCATCGTCATGGCTCTGGGGAAGGGCTCTGTAGTGGGTCAGGCGAGCTCTGCTGCTGAGCACACTGGGAAGCATGGGACAGCCCCCACAACAAAACACAACTACCTGCCTTGACGTGCCAGTGGAGTCAAGACTGGGAAACTGCTCCGTAGTCAGTTGTTCTGTGTTGAATACACAAGAGCCCGGACTCATTGGCTGGCAATGCTTGCTTTTGATTAGTTGAGGAGTGAGTGGATTCAGGGCACTCTCCTCACTAGTGAGTCAGTGTCACATTAAGGGAAGCTAGCAAAGCACTTCCTCTTGGCATTATTCAACCAAGAGTGAACCCAGATTTGAATTCTCTAAGTCAGTCTCTGCTTTCCTTCCTCATCGTGTGTCAGTTGTATGACTCCGAATCTGTGACTGCCTAGATGCTATCTAGTGAAGCTATCCTTGTCCTTGTACCTGTGTCTGTCCCAATGTGTCTGTCTGTCTTTGTGGATGTCTGAGTGTGCGTCCCTTAGCAAAGGTTTTGCTCTTACTTTACTGAGCAGCAGAGAAAGTATCACATGAGGAAGGAATGAAGGTGGATGCTGGACAAAAACCTGTGACAGAGTCTTACAAGGGATTGAGTTATTGACCCCAACTGACCCTGATAACAAACAGTACTTCAAAACTCCGTTGTTTATAAAACAGTATTTGTATGTTGCAGCCAAGGTTTACAGCAGATGCTCATCCTATAAGGCTGCTGTCAGTTTCCATTTGCCATTTCAAGAAAATGGTTATCACAACACAGCACATTTTTCTGGGTCAGGGACATGGAAGAGCACATCACTTATGATGGGCATTACTTTAGGTTGTAAGAGCTGATTACATGGGAAATCGGAGGCAAGTAAGGTTAAATGTTGCATTGTTCTCTTAAAGGCAGGTTAAACAAACAGGCTGAGCACACAGTAAGATAGTAGTCTTTAAAAAGAAAGATTTATTTATTAGTTATTATGTATAGCATGTTCTGCCAGCGTATGTGCCTGCACGCCAGAAGAGGGCACCAGATCTCATTGCAGATGGTTGTGAGCCACCATGTGGTTGCCGGGAACTGAATTCAGGACCTTTGGAAGATCGGCCAGTGCTCTTAACCTCTGAGCCATCTCTCCAGCCCTACAACAGCAGTCTTAAGTGACCTCAAGGTGCGCTACTAACTCTGGCTGTGAGGTCCAACAAAAGTTCCAGTCTCTCAGAATGTAAGAGATATTTTCCTCACAATACATTGCCACAGAGGAGGAAACCAAAATATTCAAACATGCTTATAAAGACAATTATGTCTGGGCTGTGGAGACTGAAAAAGAATCTTCTCTGCTTTACTTATTTATCATTATATTTCTTGAAAATGCCAATACATGTTTTTCTTTGCATTTTTCCCCTCTAATTTTGATGAAAGTTGGGCAAAAGGATTTTAGGAGAACATTCTATGTCCTGCCCAATAAAACATGAACATGTTTCTTTGATCATGTTTCTTTAAGGTTGGCTATTCCCATTTCTCACTAGTAAAGGGGCTGTTGCCTTGTGATTGGATCATTTACTAAGTCAGTGTTTGGGCCAGAAGAATAAAGAAAGGCTTTTAGCTTAGCTCAGTAATCCCTGCTGTACGGAGTTACTGAGGCTGAAAGTCGTCTTTGTGAGAGTCTCAGGACTGCTCATCACACTGTGAGAACTTCAGTGAACACTACTGAGCACTCAGTTGTATAATCTTTACCCGTCACATCCAAGATGCACACATGTGCTCCTAAAGAAGTGTTTTCTGTATGTGCATTTGTTTCCAGAAATGCCTACAGCGGCTATTTTCATCCCAGGTGGGAGTTCAGCAAATCGATGGGAAAATGCATCTCTGTGAGGACTCTCGATGTGTCTAGACAGGTACAGGGCAGAGACTCGTGATATGCTTTGCTCCAGCCATCCTTTGTCCCTGCCTCTTTCATTCCTTCCTTACTGTAAAGTGTTATTTATATTCATTAGATTAAATCAACACAATTTGCATAACTCTCATAATTCTCTGCTCTGGCTACTTTTACTCCTAAGTCAGATTTGCTACAAGTTATCATCGCTACAAGGGGTTTTCTAGGCTCTTCATCCCGTTCCCTTGAATTTGTTGGTTCTTCTGTCAATATTATCTATCCTGTCCCAATTCCTGCTGCTTGTTAGTGAGTCTTGAAGTTTGCTAATGTTGGTCTTCTCACCTTGTTCTCATCCTTCAGTACTTACATGTTCCTCTGTGTCACTGGGAGATGGCTATTTCTTGTAATTTTAGACTTTATGGGGATTCTGCACCAGAGGAAAACTCAGGTCTCCTCTTGCCTTATTGATTCTTCAGTTTCTGGATGTGTTTTTGTTATACTTTGCAAAGCCAGACCAAATTCATTAGCGAGTGTCCATATCCTATTATATCATATATTATATTAATAATATATAATTATATGTAATAAATTATGTATACTTAATATGTAGTAACAAATAAAAGCAATATTTTTGTTAATTAATAAAGAGATTATTTGTATTAATCTAGCACATAATATATAAAAAACATGTAACAATAACATATAACATGTAATATAATATATTGATATGCTAATATGTTAATTACATTTTATGTTATATTAATATATTTATATATTATAACATTATATAATATATTAAAACAGTATATTTCAACATAACATAATTTAATAAAAATATAAAATATTAGTTATATCAAAATACAAGAATATATTGGTTAATATCATTTATCATGCTAAATAATATATTAAATTTTAGATTAAATTATACACTGTTAGAAGCCTCCTTTTCTACTCCAGCTGTCTTACCTGCTTGTCTTTCTATATCTATTTAACATGTCTATGAGGCTGTTGTTTCCCACTGGCACCTGTTTCTCACTGACATGACCACGCGCTCCCTCATTCCACTTTCGTCTTTTCCTTGGTGTCCCTCTGCCAGTCAGGACAACAGGCTGCTGACGTGGCCCGGCTGCATAGCTGTCACCCCGGGGCTCCTCTCCAGTGTGCTGCCTTTGTCCCTTTCTCAATAACCAGATGAGGGGATCAGTGGGGGGTTTCTAGGCTCTTCATCCTGTTCTCTGGAATTTGTTGGTTCTTCTGTCAATATTATCCTGTCCCAATTCCTGCTGCTTGTTAGTGAGTCTTGCAGTTTGCTAATGTTGGTCTTCTCACTTTGTTCTCATCCTTTAGTATGTTTTGACCATTTTTACTCTTTGTGTCTCCGTATGGCTTAGGATTACCTTACCAATATCCAATTCTGAGAGTTTGATTGTGACTGCATTGACTCTATTGATTAAATTGGGAGGGACTGACACGTGGACATGAGTTCTCTTACCCTTTTATGTGCAAATACCTCCCTACATAGTATTCTTTTTTTCTTTCACTGAAGTTTTTAATGTTGTTTTTCATATTTCACATGCTCCTTTTGAGATTTATACTTAAGCATTTAAATTTTTGGCTAATAATATAAATACTATTTGTTTTGAGTTTTAAATTCCATTTGACGGCATATAAGAATGCATCGACTTTCATATGTTACCTTTATATTTTTTATTTTAGTATAATCACCTCATTAGAGGAGCTGTTTCTTCTTTTTGTTTTTGTTAATTGATTGATTGGTTGGCTGATGGTGTGTGAGTGTGTGTGTGAGTATTGTTGGGGCTTGAATTCCAGTCTTTGTACATGTTAAGCAAGCACTCTGTATGAAGCTCCATCCTTATCTCTGTGGTTAATGCTTTGAGTATTGATTTTATTAAACCTTTTATAACCTTTTGTCAGTAGGCCTGAATGTTTCCAGTAACTTAAAGTTCTGACAGTTGCGGGTATTCATAGTGAACCCCAAGACAGGCATTTATGAGTAACCATTGGCTTTCTTGGTACAGTACTGTGAAACTTTCAAGCTTTTATTAGAAACCATTTAGTCACAGATCCCACAAGTCACTTGAGTTATATTGTTTCCTGTTGATGTCTGTATATCTATGTCATTATCGGTTTGATCAAGAGTTGAGGCTAGAGATGAAAAGACAGTGGCCAGTGGTTTGGACTTAGTGGGGTCTTCTGATGGAAACTTAAAACAGAACAAATGATAGAATCACAAACCCAAATAAGTTTAGTAGTGTATTCTACTACAGTAATATTAAGAGAAAAAGTTAAAATCAATAAATCAACAACTCTTTATGAACAAAGACAGAATGGGGCTTAGGTCTGCTAGGTCAGCGTGGCTGGGATGAATATGCACACATACAAAATTCACTTTCTTTAAAAAAATCTCAAAGGACAGAATGAATATTCAAAGCATGACATGGTACTCTGTGTGTCCTTCGTGAGATCTTTTATCTACTTACCTGTCATATGTGTACTCTTTATTGAAAAGTGTCATTGAATAATTTTTAACTCTAATTTAAAATCCATACTGAACCCTTTTGTATTTTTTCCTCCTGTACTCTTTGTGTCACAATTTTATATAGGAGTGACTACTTTCTTTATCACTCCATAATCACTTAATACCTATGGGGAAAATATTGTATTTGTGGGATCTTAGAGATGTGCTCATTTCCTGTAGGTTGTCAGAGATGAATCCTTCCATCTGAGGAGGTTTGGCAGTGTCCACCATTCCATACGCCAACCGGAGGTGAAGATTCATCTCACGGGTCTTCGAAATGACCACTGTAAGTCACTGCTTAGATTCCCGGTTGAGCATCTGAAATAACAAGACGCAGCCAGTGCTCTGACCTAAGCCCGAAGTCTGATTCCAGAAGAGCCAGATGGTCCATATGTTTCGCATCCACATGGCGTACCAGGCAACGATGGTTAATGTAACTGGCCTGTTTTGTGTACTACTTTAACTTTTAGGAACGGGTATTGGTGGTGGTGGGACAAAAATATGTGACTCACTAATACATATTAAAAATATTAGCACGAACTGGACTGATGCTGACCTACTCTTACATGTGGATTTTAAATGTCAGTTATGTCTAATCCGTTACACAGTCACAGTGTGTGTGGTAAGTGCCTCTCATAATCTCGTTTGGAAGACAGTGCTCATTCACACAGAACTGACTACCCATGTGCCAATGTAGGATGCGAATAGTGCGTTATAGATCTCAGTGAGTTCAGAAACACTCTAGAGATACACAGACTTAAGCTGCATCCTGGAAGATGGATAAGACTTGTAAGGGTAGGGGGGAGATGAGGGCATTTTTGATCTTGTAAGAGCAAAGGCAGCGTTTTGGGAATTGCTGATAACGGTAGCCAAGAGGACATGTTGGGATGGAGCCATTGGTAGATAGACGCAGATCATAGAGAAATTCAAGAGTCAGGTGTAGAACTTTAATTTGGGATTTGCTAAGAAAAATTTAGAAAGAAGGCAGACTGTGTGTGTTATACTGTGCACATAAAGTACAGAACATATTTTTCAGAAGAGAGCCACCAAAGAATCAAGGATGAATTTTTTTTGAAGTAGGAGAGTGAAACCGTCAAGAAGACAGTTTGGAGAGAGAAAACTGCTTCAAACTCTTCATGAAAGGAGTTAGCATGACATGGAGGAGCCTTGGCAGATTATTGACAGTGAAGTTAATCACCGAAATAAAGGATAAACTGGCGTGGAGGGTGGTTGATTAGGGCTGAGAGCAAGGACTGTGGTGAGCTCTCCTGGAGAGGGAGGGAGAGAAAGAGGGAGTGGGCACATCCACAAAGAGGAAGGAGCCGAGGAAACAGTTCTCCACATCACACTCAGTGTTCTTTACTGCTGTGACCAACCGGGGGGTATAAATCCTCAACAAAATTTAAAAACTGAAAACCTGCATTAATATTAATAGGCAACTTTTTTGGCCCACCTTTTCTCCAAGCCATCGCTCTTCTCTATCCTCCTCTCAACAGTAAAACTTGTCAACAGATGTTCATATTGGCAGGTTCTCTCTCTTTCCAGGCTGTCTCCAGCCCACTGCAGTGCGAGGGTCTAAATCTTACCATTGTGTTCATTGAAGCTGCCCTTCTAAATACCTAACTTAGGACAGCTGTTTCATGATTCTTCTGGCTTACCTGTTATATGTGTCTTTTTAAAATGAACATGTAGGCCTCCTGGCTTTATAACCACTGTGTTCTGGCCCTTTGGCTGGTTCCTGGTCCTCTTTTATACCGCCTATATTCTAAATGTTGGTGTGCCCAAGGCTCATTTCTTGCCTATTTTCTACTTCTGCTCTACTTTAACTGACTTACTGATTTTTGGGCTGGATTTCTTTATTGTGTGTTTATATTTATTGTTATATTACATTGTAAACACTATGTTCCCAAGTAACTGTATCTGTCATGTGTTTTACATGACATCCTTTGAAAGCTATTCCATTGTTAAAACTTTTATAAAATAAACACTTGGGCCGAAAAGATGACTCAGTAGATAAAGCACTTGTCCTGCAAGCATGAAGCCCAGCATTGACTTCTAGAACCTGCAAAACATCTGAGCAGGCATGTTGTTGGCTGGCTGCCTGCAATCCAGCACTCAGGAGGCAGAGATGGGGATTCCTTGGGCAAGCTGGCTAGCCAAACTAGCCAGAACTGAGGGATTCCAGGTTCTGCAACAGACTCAGATTCAGTGTAAAAAAAAAAAAAAAGAATTGAAGGAAACTGTCAATGAAGGAAACTGTCAGTTGAAGCCTTCATACATGCATAGGCACAATTGAACATGCATACACACAAGCACACAAGTAACACACACATACACACAAAATAAAATTTAAAAAAATATTTTTTTCAAGAGGGAAAAACAGTCCTTTGTGTTTGCTCAAATATTTTGCCATTTCCAATGTTCTTAATTCTTGAAGATTTAACCTTTTCTTGGTAGTAGGCAGGGTTCTTTGGAGAAGTCAAGTCAGTAGAATGCAAGTATATTATAAAAAGGGGGTTGTTATATTGCCTTATACAGGCCGAGGAGTCTAACAATGGCTGTCTACACAGAGGAGCTGAGAGGCAGCAGCTGCTTGGTCCACAAGGCTGGATGCCCTAGCATCCACAGCCCAGTGCTGAAGGCTGGAGTAGAGTCTGATGTCAGAGTTCAATGACAGCAGCATCAGAGACAGGAAGAAGAAACAAAGGCAGCCAGGCCCCAGTCATGCTGTCCTTGGATTTCTGTCTGGAAGGTGTCTGAAAGAACTCTGAGCAGTTCTTTCTCCCTCAGTTGGCCTCTCTGTTAACATCCTCACAGTACATGGCAGAGCTGTGTCTTGTAGGTGCTTTCGGATCCTGTTGAGCTACATAGCAAGATCAACAAACAACCCTCTTAAATAACTTCTCCTTATTCTAGAGGGCTCCTTTTAGCATTTCTTGTTGATCAGATCAATTGGCAGTGATGTCTCAGATTTTTCATGTTTAATTTCATGACATTCTTGCTGGACATAGAATTCTGAGTTGGAAGATCTTGCTTTTGGTGTTTGAAAGATACTGCTCCATTCATTTTTGGTTTCTCTTATTTCTGGTGAAAAGTGTAGAGTCATTTTAAGCCTCCCTGTCATTGAGCATAGACATGATGGGCTCTGCTGGAGGCTCCACTGTAGCTGCTAGATTAGGACAACGCCACACAAGAAAAGAAATATAAAGTGAAAACTTCTCCTTTAGGGTAGGTGGGTTGAATCTTCATGCTTTGACCTCCTGACTCAGTTTACCTGTTTGTCCTTTTAAGGGTCCTCAGGGATTTGACTTTAATATGTAGCGGGAGGAATGTCCCACAGAGGGCTTAATCTACTAAACAGAACTGGTGTGCCTCACAAGTGTATGCTGGTGCATGTCAGGCATGACAGGCCCCTCTGAGGTGTCAGAGATAAGCCAGCTGACATTGCATCAAGTGGTTGTAACAGACACTTCCTCACGGCAGTCAACAGGAGGCTGAGCGATGGCTCGGCAGTGAAGAGTTACTCTTGCAGAGGACCTGAGTTCGATTCCCAGTGCAGCTCATAACCACCTCTGGCGTCAGCTCTCGGGACCTGATGCTGTTGTTTATCCTCCGTGGGCACCTGCATTCATGTGCTCATATCCCTGCCCTTCCTCCATTTACACTACCCAAAACTAGAATTTTGGGGGCTGGAGAAATGGCTCCGTGAGTAAAAGCGCCTCAGAGCATCCAGATTTGGTTCTCAGTACCCACATGTGCCACTCACAGCCGTCTGCAACTCTGGTTTTCAGACATGTTCTTCTGGCCTCTTCAGGCACGGCATACGTGTTGTTGTTCACACACATACATGCAAGCAACACACACACACACCAATAAATATCGGAAAAACAAAATTTCAAAAGGAACTCTCCTAAGTGTAAGGTAAAGACAGCTGCTGAGAACTTTCGAGACATCATAAGTGAGCTACTGTTCCTTCTAAATATACTTAGCTTGATGGTGTTTTGTTTTGTGTTTTTTTTTTTTAAAGAAGGAAATGATAGTATGATTACCCATATAGATAGGACCCAAGGGTATTTTTATAAAAATTATGTGGCATTAATTTTTAGAGATCTACTAGCTGAGATACATCTGTACTTACCGTGGCGGATGAATACACTCAGTCATAAAAAAAAAAAAAAGACAATTTTACACAAGTTTGTTTGAGCATAAATGCTAAGCATTCTCATTAGACTATGAGTCTTGAACCAGATTCTGTTTCAGTTTTTATCTTCAGATTTTAGTGATCTGCTTTCTTTCAGGGCTTTGTTGGGCATCTGTCCATGGCAAAGGTATTAATCTCTCCCCTTTTCCTTTGAAGCTGTTAAGTTAAAAATATTTCCAGTTGGCTGCATGATCATGCTAATTAAGGTTTGTCCTCACATAGACCTCAATATCCTGGACTGGAATTCTCAGAATCTTGTTGCCATTGCCCTCGGGTCCTCTATATACATTTGGAACGGGCAGAACCACAGTTGGATTGAAAATATAGACTTAAGTGTCTTCTGTAATTATGCATCAGCCGTGTCCTGGATGAGCGAGGGATCATGCCTGGCTGTTGGCACCAGCGAGGGAGAAGTGCAAGTACTGGAAACATTTCTTCCTGGCGTCTTCTGGGCAGTTACTAGTTAACTTCTAACAGCATATCAATATAGAGAAACTAGATTAAGTGAGGTACCTGGAGCTACGGTTAGAAAAAAAATCTTTCTAACTCACGTTGGATTTACAAAGCCTCTAGTTTGGGAATCTGGGAGAGAGGAGGACGCCTTTTCAGATTTTGTTCACCTGAAGCTATGATAGGAGAAGAGTGATGTAACATGACTTTTATTTCCTGATAGGCTGCCAGAGACGATTATCTGTCAAATGTCTGTCAGGTTATGTAATTCCTTACATAACCATCACTGTGACTGCTTTTCAGTGGTGTGAAGAATATTGCCTGGGTGCTAGATAACACTGGAGGCCAGGCTGTTCTGAGGTCTTCTTACCCCGTAGTTAGCCTTCCTCACTTGAGTCACGCTATCTTCTGTACAAGGCAAGAATGGAGTCTCAGTAGAAAACTGAGTTCTGACTCCAGGAAGTGTTCACACACCCTCATTTTATCCACACAGATTAATACAAATGCTGTGGCCCTCAGAGCGTCTTGCATTTTGGAGAAGGACTGTACAACTGGCACATTCTATACAAACAGTCCCCCAAACTTTAAAGGCCAAGACACTTCTTGCTCTGGAAGTTTTGCATGAGAAATACCCAATACGTGCATTTGTTGGGACTGTAGGTTGATCATGAGGTTTCCCAGTTTCTAAGGGGCTAGAAGCTCAATAATGATTCTCACTCCTTGGTTGCACTTTGAATTCATTTTAGGAGCTTTAAAATGACGGCCACACTCCCAGGCTCTACCTTACCAATTAAAACACAAGTGCTGGCATGGAGCAATACTCCTCATGTGCCCCTCCCGCCATGCAGTCAGAGCAGGGTGCTCCTTAGAGGTAGCAGAACTGAGTTTTTCTCTTAGCAAACAACAGACTGCCTGTAGCTAGTAATTTGCTCTGAGGCCTTAGAGAACACGGCAGGCTGAGGAGAAGACAATGCTATGGACTCTCTTGTCTGTTCATTTTTTTTTTTTTTTTTCCAGTTATGGGATGTAGCCACTAAAAAGCTGCTGAGAGACATGCTCGGTCACTTGTCAGCAGTTGGAGCCCTGAGTTGGAACCACTGCGTCCTCAGCAGGTAAATAGATCGTATTTGAACTGACTGTGTCTGTCTCTCCAGTGAGTTATGCGAGCTGAGTGGACAGAGCCATAGCAAGGACAAAACCAAAACGAGTGAAACAGAACAGCCCATTAGGTTTTGTCTATCTTACCTCTTCGGCCCTGGTAGGTGTTTCAGCCTTCTGATATGGGTTCTAGAGGACACACATACGCAGTGACCATGTCTTCAGCATGAAATACAATTAATTATTCAGATACACTGAAACTGTGAAACTCACTTCAAACAAAAAGTTTCTTTGTATCGATTCATGTCTGTGATAGGGACTCTCTTCGTGGGGTGTGTGTGTGTGTGTGTGTGTGTGTGTGTGTGTGTGTGTGTGTGAGAAAGCAGTGCTTATTGGTATAAACGGAATATGTTAAACATCTCTAAGTTGGAAGATGTTAGAAGTTGGAAGAGTTGGAAGGGACCTCATAGATTATCCTGCTCAATAGCACTCAGACACGGGTGTTCACTGGGCTCCCCAGCGGGGCTAATGAACACAGTCTCCGGCATTTCCTCATATCAGGGCATCTGCGTTTCTAATTTCACAAGCGAGGCTAGTGATATATGGCATCAAGAACTACTGATGTGAGTTAACAGCTTTGAGCCAGAGAAGTTGTGTGACTTTTCCTATGATGCTACATAATTGGTTTCAATATGTATTGTTTTGAGTACTAGCATTCATCTCTGTAGTGTATTTCACAAGGTAGATTTAAGTCAGGAAGGTGTCAAAGCTTTTTACAGCCTAGTTAAATAGCTGGGAATTAATTTGGGAAATTTCTAACTTGTGATTTTCTGGCCAGAGCAGAAATCCTTTGGTTGGTGTGCTCAGGTCAGTTCTGTGCAAAAGCTTTTTTTTTTTTTTTTTTTTTTTTTTTTTTTTGTAGTTGGCATTGATAAGGATTGGCTTGTTATCCACAAAATCATGACTGTATAATCATAGCAGCTGCCTTGGGCTTTCCTGTGTCAGGCTCTGTGCTCTAGACTTGATGGGCACAATCTCACTTTAATTACTGATTTAGTAGATTATTTCAATTTTCTTCTCAGATGAGCAAACTGAGGCAGTAGAATGAGGTTACGTGATTAACAAGTGACTGAGCCGCGATTTAAACCCAGGCATCCTGGCCGCAGAGTCTGTATTGTCAGTCAGGATGTTATTCAGGGTTGTGTCTGAATAGTTAAAAAGTATGACATCAGATGCTGAGAAGTTGCATCAACAACTGTAGAGGCCATTTCCTTGCTCCTTACAGGGCATCAAGCCAGCCCTGAGGTCATAGTCTGTGGGAAGATGTAGGCTCTTCATCATGGCTTCACCAAGTCACTAAGTGGAGACTTCCTGCTGATTCTGAAAGACGCTGCATTTTTTTGAGATATTCAACTACTGTTGAGTCAAGGATGGAAGTGGAGCTCAGCAGAGACACACCTGTCAGGAAGGAGAAATAAAAAAATTCTGCTTAATGTGTTTCAACAAGAATCTACTAACACCACACTACTGAATTAATGTAAAATATTTTCAAAGGAGAGAAATATAATTTTTCTAGATATTATATGTAAATTTACATGGGGGAATCTTATAATTGTCTAATTTTGTGTTTTTCATAATGATTAGCATCATATTTTTCTTTCTTTCTTTCTTCTTTTTTTTTTTTGGTGTTTTGAGACAATGTTTCTCTATGTAACTTGGGCTTTCCTGGAACTCATTTTTGTACACCAGGCTAGCCTTGAACTCAGAGATCCAAATTTGAAATGCTGAAAGACAAATCTATTTCACTCCTCCCCCCTTTAAAGACAGGGTCTCATTATGTGGCCCTGACTGGCCTTGAACTTAGAGATCAGTCTGCCCCTGCCTGCGGAGTGCTGGGATCAGCTGCCTATGCCACCATGCCTGGGCAAACCTAGTTCACTTGTGAGAAGAATCATGCAGGCAGAACACTCCCATCCTTCCTGCCCAGGAAGTTTCCGTCTGTGTTTGGACAGGTCCTAATGGCTCTTTCCAGAGTTTTATTTTGAAATGTGCTTTCCTCCATATTAACTCATGAGATAGAGGGGCTTCACCCCATCCTTTTTGTCACAAGAACTTGACTCTTTGCCTCTAACTCAGTGGGTCCAGACTGGGCCTAGTCCACCACCATGATGTCTGAGCTCCCCAGCATCATGTCAGAACATTTCACCACAAGGCGGCTGTGTGTGCTCTGAAATGGTCACCGGATGGGAGGCTGCTTTCCAGTGGGTGTAATGATGGATTACTGACAATATGGCCCCACGATCCAGGCTCCAGTGCGCCAGGCCCACCACTGAAAGTCATACCTCAGTCCACAGCAGTTAAGGTAAGACATCCCCAGCTGCTTGGGATTGCTTTTGGCAGAGATCACTGAGTATCTCAGATTAAAAAGAAAATCAGCAGGCCTCTAGCATACACAATGGCCTAAGTTCAATTCTTTGTTCATGAATGTGTGTGTGCATATACGTGAGCGCGCGCACACACACACACACACACACACACACAGACACACATCATCACCATCATCACCCACAAAACACAAAGTGAGAAAGGTTCTATTCTCTTACTATGATGAGAACAGGCAAAACCCTCAATGACACGTGGGCTTTAGAGCACTTGCTCTACCAAAGGTCGTGGGTTCAGATTCTGGCACATACATGGTGTCTCACAATCATCTGTAACTGCCCTTACCAGAGACCCAGTGCCTTCTGACCTCCACAGGCAACAGGCACACATACGGTGCACATACGTACATGCAGATACAATACTCATGCATGTTAAATAGAGTGAATAAATCTCAAAAAAATAAGAAAATGGACCCAAGTAAGACAAGCTGTAAATGTATTTAAAAGTCTGACTAATTTACAAGAAAAGCATCAGAGGAACACAGCCCAAGGACAGCTCCTTCTTGCCAAGGAGAAACAAAAGACAACTCTCACATGATTATTTCACGTAAAATTATTTCTCAATTACATTTCACTACATATAAAGTAACAGGTTAAATTTCAAATAATTTCAGCCAGGATCATAACAGTATTTTTTTTTTTTTTTTGGTGCTGGTGCTTTAAAATTTATAATTGTTTGGGAAACTGTTATGATATCACAGTTTTGAAATTTGGAATTTACCTAAAGATATTTGTCAGAAACAAAAGATACATTGTGTTTTGAGACAGCAAATACTAAATAAAACATAAACAATTCTCTTTAAAAATGTCAATAAACCCTATACAAACCAAAAAAAGAGCCCAGTATTAGGACAACGAAGTGTGATGGAATAGAATGAGATTAGTGAAAACAATAAAGGGCCTGGCGAGACACCTCGGCAGTCAAGAACTTGCTGCTCTAGCAGAGGACCCACAGCACAACTCCCAACTCCTGTAACTCCATTTCCAGGAGATCCGACTTCTTCTGGTCTTCTCAGGGACCCACACACACGTGTGCGCAGACATACACACCTACATATACATAAATAAAACTTATAAACGTCAAAAGATGAGAATGATGTAAAGTGTGTTAAAACACAGAAAGGTTTCATATAATGATGAATAGGAGAACAAATTATTGTAGACCCAGGATTCGCTACTCTGTAAAATATTTTTACTCACAGAAAATAATAGGCAAAAGTGAGATTTGGTACTGGGCTGATGGACAAGGTTTGCAGATGTATATAGCTGACATAGTTGTTAAAATGCTCTTTAAAAGTTACTAGTCATTTCGGCTATCGGTACAGATAGGGATATTAATTCTGATGTTCAGCTGACTAGAGTTGTTTGTAAATGGCGTGATCTTCTGTATGAAGATTTGAACTGCCTGGGGTCTGCACTTACAGGCGGTTGTGTACGGCTCTCTTCAGCCTACTGTTACCTGGAAGACAAGGACCCTGGTGTGTAAAGCAGAGGCTGCGGTCAGTATAGCACTCGGAAGGGCCAGGAGTGTCTCCAGCCAGGGTTCTGTTGTATGCGTGTGTTGCGTGCAGTTTTTCAGTTGTGTTGTTCTGTAGCTTTTTTCTGTGTTAGTGAGAGGACCTAATTCCAAGGAGTCAGCCAGTTCAATCGAAGTCCTGTAGCCTCCATGGAAACAAGCCAATATCAACGGAAGTCACATAGCTGAGGGGTCTGGAGTCTCCTGGCAGACCATTGCAGATGCCCTGATCTATTCTGATTGAGTGGGGTGATATGTGAAGAAGCTGGGGTAGATTTAGTGTCTATCTGTTTGGCTAATCTGATGCCATGACAGGCTTCTTTTCTCCACTGTGTCTGACTAGGCCTGAGTTTCTGTTTCTTGGAGTTCAAACAAAGAATTCCTGGAAAAGCCACAACTCGAGGACAACTAATTAGCTTACAGGTCAAGTTGACCAAAAGCTATGTTTGTGCATATTTTATGTTATGAACACTTTATGACTGTTCCCAAAATAAAGCGTAGCCCGCCCTAAACAATCAAATTAAAGGTCAAAGCATGAGTAAAAGCCAAACCTCAGTGAATCAACAAAGTCTCCAGCAACTAGGGAAAATCCCTAATCAGACAATCCTGAATCCTCTCATATCCCTATGTCATTCCTGACCAATTAGGTTAAGAGTTACCACACAAAGACCCTAACTGTGTATAAAAATCCTGTGTATTCACTCTGGGTTTCCATTTTGCTTTGATGGTGATCCCAGCAGGTTGGTAATTTCTGCAGAAGAAATGCTCTTTGCTTTTGCATGCTACTTGAGTCAGGGGTCTTCCTTCAGTGGTTCTCAGACCCTAACACTAAAATACTGAGAGTTGTTAGTATAGTTCAGGGAAGTGTTCTATTATGCATCTTCCCTTTCACAGTGGCTTCGCAGCCCTGGGCAATACTTTCTGGCAGGTATATCTGCCCTCACCTGGGGACGCTGCTGCAGCAGACCTCTAAGCTTTGGCTCCCTGTGTACACCGCCCTGGTGAGTTTGAGTTCTCTAGGGCTCATCTGCCTGTGTTATGATTTGTAACTTTATAGGCCATAGAGTGGTGTCCCTGGTAACCTGAGGTCCTTGCCATTGGAGGAGGAATGAAGGATGGACACCTACATATTTTGGATGTAAACACTGGGACAAGCGTTCAGACGCCAAGCACTCACTCACAGGTAGGCACCTGGAGTTCGTCTTCATCTCAAATCTAGAACCTTACGAAAACAGTTTATGATAGAACATTGGATCCCGCCCTCCCTTTCTTTCCAAAAGGAATTCCAATTCTTATGAATTTGTTTCCTGTAAAATTTCTTAATCAGCGAGTCCAAAGTAAATCCAATTTCTCTTCCTCCATTCATTCTTCCTTTCCTCCTCCCTCCATTTCTTCATTCTCTTTGTTCTTTCTCATCACAGTTAGACTCTGAAACTAGAGAGTAGTCAGTTTATCCCTGGCCACTGATCACAATTCATTTAAATTCCCTGGTTCATTGCACTGGAATCTATTTGTTTTCTTGATCATTTTCTTAGGACATATGCAATTTCTAAAAATCCCAAATCCTCACCATGGCCGGAGGGTGGGTGAACACAACGGAATAGAGAGTCTAGAATTTAAGCATGAGAAGTTGGCAGCACTTAGTATTTTGTGGCCTTCATTCTAGATTTGTTCCCTCGTCTGGCTACCTAAGACAAAGGAGATTGCAACAGGCCCAGGTTCTCCCAGGAATGACGTGGCTCTGTGGGCCTGCCCCACACTGTCCAGGTCTGGTGGTTTCTTTGGTGAGTAAACGGCACACGCCTATCTATCCATGGCAAGGCATGCTGCCACAAAGTGGGAAAGCTCGATCAAAGACTGGTTATTTGATTTTAATATCAATAGAGGACAAAATCCTACATCCACCGCACCTCAGAACATTGACATAAATGCTTCTAAATATGATCCTACTTGTCTGTCTCTTAAGACTGTCCAGGTTCCTCTTCCTTGAGTCTGTGTCTGCTTAGGCAGCGGCCATCTTGGGCAGCTTGTGAACTCCAGGTTTAGTGTCATAAATTACTCTGAAGAAAATCTAGCGGTGGGAAGACAAAGAGAGCTGGAAGGTGAGCTAGTGCTATGAGGCCACCGAGAAGCTGGAGGCGTCCTCTGTAAATATACACAGTAAGTTAGGGCCAATACCAAAACCTTCTTTGGAGATTCTGAGAATTCTATTTGGCAACCCACACCTTTTCCCCATCAGAGAGATGTCCTGCCTCCGCTGAGGCTGCACCTCTGGCCTCTGACAGAATCACCTGTCCTTTCATCCTTCCACGGCACACTGCTTCTCTTTCTCTCCCTTCTTCTCTCCCTCCCTCCCTCCTTCCCTCCCTCTGTTCTTCCCTTCTTTCTTTCTGCAGTTGTTGCCAGGGATCAATCCTGGGCTTTCTGTTCTGTTACCTAGCCACGCCCCAAGAGCCAGATGATAGTCTCTCTCAATTTAGTTCTTTCCTGACAGAAAGATTCATGACGAGGAAGGACGAACCACTCCCTGTTCTCAGGGTCTTACATCTGAAATGATAAAGAGTGGTGTATCTTCTTCTACCCAGCCCCAGAGAGAAGACGAAAATGCTAGCCGAGGCTAAGGAGCACATCAGGGGATCTGGTCGCATACCTTCCGGTTTGACAATGTATTCCTGTTTCTCCTCTCTCCACGAAGCCCTGTCTTCAGGTTGACCCCAGGATTTCGTGTGTCCACCTTTTATTTTTAAGCATCTTTTATGTCCCATATGTTTTATGGGGGCATAGGGGTTTCATAGGTGACATTGTTTCCCTTGAAGCCTATACTTTTGTGTGAGGAGACATACAGAAATTAAGTATGTATAAAGCGAGGTAGAGCTAATACCATGCCTCTTTTTGGGGTTTCCAAGAATACTATTTAGCACTCCCTTTCCCCATTCTCCCTCACATCTTTTCCCCATCATGTAGACTTCCTGTCTGTGGTGTGGCCCCAGACAGCCCCAGAACTACCCTTTCATTTCTCAGAGGTTTTCCTCATATTGTTTTCTGACCTGTAAGAACTAGGGGACCAAGTCTCACTCATGTTTATGCTCTTCCCCCGTTCTGGGTGTTGAACCCAGGTTCTTGGGAAGGCTGGGCAAACACTCTCCTATCAAGTGACACCCTGGGCCCTTCAGACAACTCCTCTTAAAAATAACTTTTTATTGAATTTATTCTCTGACAATTTCATACATGTATACATTACAAAGTGTGTTCTGATTATAGCAGCCCCTACCCTCTCTAAATTTCCTCTTGCCACTATTATTCCCCCTCTACACTAGTCCCTTCTCACATTCATGTTTTCTTTTGTCAAAATATTTATTTATTTTAGTTTTTTCAAGACAGTGTTTCCCTGTGTATCTCTGGCTGCCCCTGAACTCCCTGAGATCTGCCTCTCAAGTGCTGGGGTTAAAGGTGTGTAACACACACCACTGCCCAGCATGATTGATTTATTTATTTATATTTTATGTGTGAGAGTGTTTTGCCTGCATATACGTCTATGCACCATGTACATGACCTTTGGAGAGCAGAAGAGGGTAGCAGATCTCTGGGAACTGGAGTTAAGGATGGTTGTGAGCTGCCATGTGGATGCTGGGAGCCAAACTCTGTTACTCTGCAAACAAGACCTGCACAAGGTCAAGCCAGCAGAGGCACAGTTGACAGACGTGGGGAAAGGAGAGCTCCTGGGGGAGGGAGAGTCTTTTTTGTCGCGCGCGGCCTTTGCCGATAAGGACGACACAACAACCGAGGATTTCTTCAGCGGCAGGTTTATTGTACAGCTCTTTCTTGCAGATGGTGAAGGACCCAAACCCCGGGTTGTGCTCTGCTTAAATAGCCAGCAGAGAGGCGTGTTCGTCTGTAATTGGTGCTCTGTTCAAGTCTTCATAAGCATATGGCTGGCAATTGGAGTGCAGCCTAAACCCTCATTAGCATAAAGCTGCGCATGCGTAAACTGCAGGGCGGCGCAGGCAAGAAGCGCGAAAATGCTGGCAAGAAGAACCAGGAAGCAGGAAGCCGGCGCCATCTTGTAATGGCGGGAGCGGCTCCCGACACTTTTTTTTTAAGGGTGTGGTAATCAAGGTCTTGTGGATGGCTCCACACTCATGAGTATACAAACAGCACAGTGATATATATATATATATATACATTCATGATGACAGGAAGTTGGGAAAGAATGGAGGAGTTAGGGGGTAAATACAACCAAAATATACTGTACAGAATTCTCAAAAATTAATTTATTATATTAAAAGACAACCTGGTGTAGGTGACTTTCCAGCCTGCAGGTAAAACCTGCTTTTGATGTGGCTTGTTTGGTCCACAGTGAAGCATCAATATGTGGGGTCGCTGATGACACTTGCAGAAAACAAGACTCAGAGCTCACCCAGCAACAGCATTCTTAGAATTTGAAGCCACAGCCTCACCTCAAAGGAGTGTCTTTGTCTGGGGTAAAGATGTCATTTCCCATTACCTCATAAGTTAAGACTGTCACTAATGTGTTTGGAAGGGGCTTCAAGAACCCTGCTGCTTCCGACCCCAGTGTCATTTTTCTAGAACTGTCTATTCAATTTAGGTCAAGCTAACTTTCAAACCTCCCTTTAGAAAATATTTGGGGTTTTTCCTCTTTGCTATTCCATTTCATTTTTTTTCTTCTTTCCTTTTCATTTTTAACACACAGTGGATAACAAGACATTTTCAGTTGCTCATTGAATCTATTGAATATAATAAAGACTTTGTTCTTAGGTAGATTAAAAAGCATCATTTTAAGTTAGAAGTGTACATTTAAAGACTCTTATGCCTGGAGCTTTGTGGCAGAAATCAATGGGAATGTTTAACTTTTTGACAAGGGAGATCTCTATGCGATAATTTTCTGTATGAACCTAACACTGTAACTATTTGATATCGTGTGTGTGTGTGTGTGTGTGTGTGTGTGTGTGTGTGTGAAGAGTTTTCTGTTCAGGAGATGAAGAAAGATAGTAGGAAAAATCCTTGGAGAAGTGTAAGAATGAGACTGCTTCATTTTATTTTTTAAAACAAGTTTCACTTTAAAAGGACTTTATTTTTAATTATGCTTGTGTGTCTGTGGGCATGTGCACTTGGGGGTGAAGGTGTCCTTGTGTGTGGGTGTTGGTGGGCGGGTGTAGAGGTGTTGGATCCCCCTGGAGCTGGGTCTACAGGTGGCTGTAAGCCACCCAGCAGGGGTGCTGGGAGCTACCAAATAGTACATGAGTTTAACTTTCCATCCATCTCTCTAGCCCTAAGAGAGGGCCATCTTACATTTCTTCCTGTGGCTTCATCTTAGCCTAAGATGTTAAAATTAATTGTTAAAGTTAAGTTTGTGACTTGATTATATATACAGATTTCTTCCCTCTTTCTTCTCCCCTCCCTCTCTCTCCCTCCTTCCCTCCTTTCCTCCCTCCCTTCTTTTCTTCTGTCCTGCTGTACTGGGGTCAAAACAGGGCTTTGCACATGCTTGGAGAATACACTATTCCCCAGCTAAAATTTTGCTACTTCTACAGTTATTTAACTTCCTACTTCTGCAAAAAGATAACTTTCTTGTGCATATTTTAAGGTGTTAAAAATAAATAACATATCAATAAAATTAGACTTTAACATGAGAAAAATAGGCTGAAATAATTGAAAAGCTTTAGTTCTAGATCCTTTCAATTATTTTTTGAAGATTTATCTTATCTGTACATGTGGGTGAGTATGTTCATAGGTGAGTGCGCATGCTGGAGTCCTGAAGAGTGTGTTAGATCCTCTGGACCTGAAATTATAGGTACTTGTGAGCTGGCTGACATGGAGGTTGAGAATCAAACTCAGGTCCTCTACAAGAGTAGTATGTGTTCTGACTGCTGAGCCATCTCTCCAGTCCTGGTTCTATGTCTTTTAAAGCAACTATTCCAAGTGGCATTTTTTTTTTTTTAAGTTTCAAAAAAAAAAAAAAAAAAAAGATAATGGCCTTCAACAGAAAAAGAGATTTCCCTTGAGTTTTGGCCTAATGTTAGAGCATTGAACTGGTGCTGCTGTTAATTATTGGTGTGACATTGTGTTTATTATTCCTGCATCATTTTATTCATTTATAAGTTAAGGAGATGCATTATTTCTGTGAACAGAATTGTATGTACCCGCATTCACAGAACCAGTCCCATGCCCCCTCGGAATAATTCATACAGGTGTATGTGTGGTATATGTACACAAAGAAGTGATATGTAGGTGCAAAAAGACCCCCAGGAGTCTGTGAAGGTTATGTCTCCACTCCTCTGTGCTGGAAAACTTGTACCAGAGATGCTGTGTATGTACCAGAGATGCTGTCTGTGCACCAGGGACGATGTCTCAGAGTCCCATTCTCAGTTGGCTTATAAGAAACCCCGTTTTTATGAAGACATGACTCCCTCCTCCCATTTGGTTTCAGCTGGGTCACCAACCACCTTCCCACCCCAACCTTATCTGATTCTCTTTCATATCCTCCTAGATCAGGCCTCTTTTCATGGACTAAGTTTTATCTACTTTGGCCCAAGGTTTTGGTTATTAGAGCCACTGACTGCTGTGTAGGCTGGGTTTCACAAAGCATTTTCCACATGACACCGGTGGATACCTTATCATGCTGAAGTCAAAAGGACCGCAGGTGAGGCTGAGAAATGTTACCTACTATGGTCTCGTTTTCAACACCCCCCACCAGTGCATACAGCAGCCCTGAAATGAACTGAGTTCTGAAATAAGGAATTGACTTTAATTTTAACTTGGAGCCCTTAAATTAATGTGACTGTTAAATGCTGTTTATTAATCGTGTATAAAGCAATTATAGCTGAGAATGTTCTTTAAGAATAATGACTAAGAGCTCCTGCAAGTTTCTCCCTGCTATGAACATCAGACCTCTGCCCTCAGGCTTTAGGCTGCCTCCCTGGTGCCATGGCCCCCAAATGGCAGTCTGTGATCCTGCTTCAGCCTGAGAAATCTGAATGGCTCCTGCCCCAAAGCTGGAAAACATGTTGGCCTGTCCCAGCCTGCTGAAAGAAGAGAAAGAACATCAAGAAACAATTGAACATATTGATGAAGTACAAAATGAAACAAAATGAACTTAGTGAACAAGCCACTGAAGAAATTTTAAATACAAGAAAAATACAAGAAACTCTGCCAACCAGTTTTTCAAAAGAGCTCAGAACTGATTGCCAAAATCCCAATTTTTAGATAACAACAGTTGTCAGCCGTCCACAAGTGTCCGCGCCACTGGGGGAGGAGGGCGAAGAGGCTCTGCATTATTTGACCAGAGTCGAAGTGACAGAATTTAAAGACATTAAATCACGTTACAGAATAGATTTTCATTTTGGGAAAAATCCTTATTTTGAAAATAAAGTTCTCTCCAAAGAATTGCATCTGATTGAGAGTGGTGACCCATCTTCAAAGTCCACCAAAATCAAAAGGGAATGTGGAAAGCATTTGGCAAACACAGAATAAGGGCAGCAGGAAGCAGCAGTATGAAGAGCCGGGCTTCTTTACCTGGCTCACCGGCCATCCCGAAGCAGGTGCAGATGAGGTAGGGCAGGTCATCAAGGATGATACTTGGCCCAATCCCTTGCAGTACTATTTGTTTCCTGATATAGATGATGTAGAAAGACAGGCAGATGCTGCTGCTGCTGAATAAGAGGAAGTGTTGAAGGATATTGATGAAGGGGATGGGGGTGAAGGTGAAGAAGATGAAGATGATGATGGGGAGAAGGAAGGAGAGAAGGATGAAGGCAAGATGACTAGTACAGAAGACTGATAGATTCCAATCTTCTTTTTAACTTTACTTTTTAAAAATTTTCTCCAGTCCGTGGGAGCAAGTTGCAGTGATTTTCTCTCTCCTCCTCTCCCATCTTTGTGCTCAGTCACCCTGTTTTGAGTTCTCTCTTAACAGTGAAGCTCTCAACTTACTTAGGGGGAAATAACCTTGAGCAAACTACAACAAGAAAAGAATCTCCACTTTCCTATTCTAAATTCATTTTTATCCTTTCTTGTTCAAAAACTGTGGATTCAATACCACCATTCAACACCATGCTTTGTGGAAAAACAAAACAAAACAAAACAAACAAACAAACAAACAAACCAACAAACAAAAACACCCTGTGGCTCCCTTGGCTCTGCTGGAGGAGGCTGCTAGGCCTGTGTACTAGAACTCGGAATTCTAACTGCTTTTCCGTCTTTGTGTATTGGGCTCAGAGATTACACTGTGTCACTATGTGATACAGTTAGTATTTACCAATATGTACCTGTCCACTAACAAAAAGAGAGAAAGGGAGTTATAGTAAGTCAGCAACTGGAGGGTTTGAGGTGCCCAGGGGGCATTTAAATGGGCAGCTTGACAACATGGCTTCTCCTTTGGCATGTTTAATTGTGATGCCTAAAGGATGTCCTTGTAGTTTAAAGTGACACTTTTAAAATAAAATTCTCTCCTAACAAAAAAAAATAAAAAATAAAAAGAGTAATGAACGAAAGAACAGAAGGGAAGCCAGAATACAGAACCCCGCAAGCAAGTCTTGAGTTTTTGGACCGTTCTGTTTTATGTGATCCATCTCCTGAAACCTGTCCCAAAGGGATGGCTTTTGTCTGAACACAATGATGGCCCTCACTGGATACCTGAGCATGTAGAAGCTGGCACTAACGAGTAGGGTGTGAGTGTGGTTCAGGCTAAAGCACACTCTCCTCAAAGATACTGGGCTGAAATCTCTGGAGCCTGTAAAGGTGACCTTCTCTGGACAGAGGCTTTTTCATGACCTGACGGGGTTCAGGTTCCTGGGAGAAACAGTCCAGGGTTTTGTAGGCAGGCCTAAATCCAACCTCACGTGTCCTGTGATCTCTGAGAAGATCCGAGAGCAGTCGCAGAGGAGGCAGCACGTGCACGGAGGCTGTGTGGCCACAAATGGAGGAAGGGCACCGCAGTCAGGAGCCAGCAGTGGCCAGCCTGAGAATCTCAGGCTTGCGATACCATACCGCTCCCCCTACACTTCACACTTCAACCTCAGACTGTGGGAGAGTCAGTTTCTGGTGCATAATCACCCAACCTGTAGCCATTTGTTATGATAGTCCCAAGGCCCTGGTGGCGGGGGGAGGGGGGACGTGGGAAGGGTTGGGTGGGGTGGGAGGAGGGGCGGAGGTGGAACAGGCGCTGGAGCAGAAACTTAGCAAAGTCTCAGGTGCTGAGAAGGGTCAGGCTGGGGAACAGGGCTGGTCCAGGGAACCCTGTACCCGGGGAAGGACGCCAGCCCCGTCTTAGTCACCTTAATTCTTAGCAGCCACCCTGGCAACAAGGCGTGAGACATATCTTCTTTCTCCCACAGGTCACAGAGCTGCACTTGGCCCTGAGTCCAGACCAGACCAGCCTATTTTCTGCTGCTGCAGACGGGACAGCTTGTGTGTGGAAGTGCCTCTATTCACTCAGACACGCGAATAGCGCGGCAAGCTTTCCTCTCCATTAGGCCACTGGAATGGAAGTTGTCATGTACGGCTCTTCCTTGCCTGATTCCTCCCAGGCTGAAATCTGTCTTCTTCCCACTCCACCGCCCAGAGCTGGTCTGATTGTCTTCTCTCCTCTTTCTCCCTCCTCTTCCCACTCTTCTGCCTTCTTTTCTTTGCCCTTTCCTCTTTCAAGATTCATTTTTCACTGTTAGTAAAAATGAGTTCTAAACAGCTCTTTCCTACCTGGCTTTTCTAAGTCTTCCCATTATATTTTTGACTGCTTTTTTCTTATTTCCTTTTTGAGTTCCTTTCCTGTCATTAGTTCAAACTCAATACACTAAAGGCACAACTTACATGCCGGAAAACCCGCTGCTAATCTCCTGCCATATGCTGTGTGCTGCAATAAGCATGTATATCACTTCTCAAAATTAGCTCCTCTGTGGACCCTTTCTCCTCCAGTCTTAGTCTGTTTTCTGCTACTGTAACAGAACACTCAAGACAGAGCAGCTTAGAAACACTGGTTGTGGAGGATGGAAAGTCCAAGGCAGGCTGGCATCGGATAAGGATTTTTCCATGGTGCCACACTAGGGCAGAAGGCAGAAGGGCAGGAGACATTAGAGACCAAGGCAGCAAGAGGTCACTTTTATAGCAAGCCATTGTGCTGCTGCTCTCTCTCTCTCTTTTTCTCTCTCCCCCCCCCCACATTTGTGTGTGCGTGTGTGTCAACTTGACACAAGCTAGAGTCATCTGGGGAGAGGAAGCCTCATTTGAGGAATTGTCTCCTTCAGGCTGACCTGTAGGCATGACCGTAAGGCATTCTCTTGACTGATGATTGCTGTGGAGGGTCCAGCTCACTGTGGGTGTCGCCTCCGCTGGGCAAGTGGTCCTGGTTTTATAAGAAAGCAGACTGAGCAAGCTATGGGGAGCAAGCCAGAAGGCAGTTTCTGGGGGCCTCTGCATCTCCTGTGTGGCTCCCGTGTTAGACTCTGCTTGCTGTCTGGTATTCCTGCTCTTCCTCCATGATTGTTACCTGTGCTTGGATTCATGGTGTTAGTCTGTATTACTTACTTGGTATTAATATTAATGTGTGTATTTTAATCTTACTATGTCAATCTTTTATTACTTTAGTTTTAACACACTCATCTCCTCAAGGACAATAAAACAGGGAGCACATCCCAGGTAACTAATATTGATTTGCTTTCAGTTGTTTCTATTTTTCTTTTTGGCAGGATATTAGTGTCTACATCTATCTAAGCTCAGGCTATTCTTCAAATTAGTGTATAGTTTAGTCTGGCCTCAAACCTGCAATCCTTCTGTGTCCATCTCCTGAGTGCTGGGTTTATAGATGTGAGCTACTACACCTGACTCTTAAAGAAAAAAAAATGCCTTCTCCTTTGTTCCTCCCATAAAACAAAACAAAAACCTTGATTATTGTAGAGCAGGGTAGTTATAGACAAGAGAAATTAGGATTTATTTTTGACAAATTTATGTTATTTGCCAATTAATTTTCTTCTCGCCTTCTTTTAACTCAGTAAGGTTAGTAATTCCTTATTTAGAAAAATTTAGGGCACCTAATTCTGCAAGTCTGTCTGTCTCTCTCACAAACACACACACACACACACACACACACACACACTTGACAGTTTCAAATGTTCCCCATCATTCTATTTTAGGTTTTTTGTTTTAACAGTCTTATGACAATGTCATGATCAAGGGTAATTTCTGCAGTTAATATTGGTATGTGAGCATATTTCTACCAGATATTAATTTTAGCGGAAAGTTTAAGATCTGATTTTTATAAAAAAAACAAAAATCAGTAGAAGTCTAGGCAAGAAACAAAATGGCTGCAAACATTTTTCAAATTTTAGAATACAAAACTTCAAGTTTATAAATCCTTAGCAGATAGTTGGTTAAATTTTTAGCTCATGAGTAGATAATAGTAAGTACCATCTAGATTAAGATATGGACGTTTCTGGTATCCCTAAAGGATCTCTTGTGCCTACGGTCAGTGAACAGCTTCTTCTATATTCGGACTTCTATCATGATGGACTTGTTTATACTTATGCCTACTGCCTTCAGATAGGTGGAATTGTGTGATAAAGATGCATGCAACAAAAACTCAGTGTTAACTGAGACCGAAGGGCTTTTCATTCCTATATTTTACCCTATAAATATAAACTTGTTTATTTTATTTGAAATGGATAGTTATTTGCAGTTTTGAGTTTATTTTTTATTGTTTTTTTAAATTATTTTTATTTTTTGTTAATTACAGTTTATTCATTTTGCATCCTTCCTGTACCTTCCTCCTTCTTCTCCTCCCAATCCCACCTTCCTTCTTCCCCACTGGTGTCCCTCTCCCAGTCCACTGAAAAGGGAGGTCCTCCTCCCCTTCCCTCTGACCCTAGTCTATCAGGTTTCATCCTCTGAAAGGCTGTACCTTGCAGGGTATCGAGGCAGATGTTGAGGCAGTTTTGGGTTTAAATGCTTAATCTGGTAGGTACATTACTGAACATATCTTTGGTGGACAAAATAGTCATTTCAGTTTGGTGTATCCTCTAGATATACTATAAAGTGTAAACAGGTTGATCTTTAATAGACACTAGGACACTAGTAATTTTTCCAAGAAGAAAGGCAAAATTTTTAACTAGCAATGCACTTCATTGTGTATTTCAGGGAGTCTGATCCTTGGGTCCTCCCAATCTTATTGGGGTGTTAATATAAGAAATCCCGTGTTCTGGGTTCCACCAACATTAAATAACTGAGAATCTCTAGAGATGGGTCCTGAGCTGTGCTTCATCTTCATCTTAGTCTGAAGGCCACAAGACAATGCGTGTCTTCCTAAGGAAGCCACCCTTGAGTCATTTCTAATTTTCGTCCTCCCCGTTCCTGCATATGAATGTAAATGGCAGTGTGGAGGTTAACAGAGGCAGTGGGCCAGGCTCCTTTGCAGGCCTGTACTCTAGAGCAGTTCAGAACACCCGAGCCCTTCACTATACAGAGACAAATCTGCTGCGAGCAGGGTGCGTTATCCAGGGAGAAATTCCCCTGTCTGAGGACTCTGGTGGTCCCGGTTTTCTAATCTCCCTCCTGCACTATGCAAGATGTCGCCTTCTGACTCTCGGTTCTGCTGATGGAGGTCTGCCCAAGGACGTTACAGGAGAGACGCGTGTGCAGTCATTCAAGCCGATTTTATTTGTGGTTAGACGCAGAAGGGACACAGCTAGAATGAAATCCACATATTTAAACTGTGCGCTTCATCGTCTTCTTTATCCATCTGAGATATTTGCTTGAGAGGAAAGTATAGACACCAGGCGCTTGGGGATCGCCACACCTCCCCGGGCGGCCAAAAGCTGTGATGCCTCGGAAACTGCCCTCACATATCAGAGGGCTTCCAGAATCTCCCTGGGGAAGGAAGGGGGGGGGGAGAGGAGGTGGGATCAGCATGGACCGTGACGTTCTGTCACAATATGAACAACAGCCTAGATGTCACTGAAAATTACTACGCAAAACATCAAGATGGTTAGCAAGAGTTCAAATTTATAGCTCAGTGAAAACTGAGATGAAAGTTGTATTAACGTATTTTATCCACTGTTTCTGAGACTGATTGCCTTTTTCCAGAAACTCATCCTTTTTGGTCACTTTTTCAGCATACTTAAGAACTCAAGGAGTGAAACGGGCACTTTTCACTTAGGTAAAGAGCAACTCCATGTTTCCTGGTTCCTCTGGTATATATTCATTTTCCCCGAAGGGAAGAGAAGCCCTCCTTTCAGGGAATAGTTGGCTTTCTATCTGTATGATGATGAATTGCTTTTGTACAAAGTAATATAATATATATCATGTATCATAATGTATCTGTATGAAGTAATATAAGAATTATGTGGCCACTGTGGTCATCCCTGCTGAGATACATTTCCTCTCTGTTATAGTGTCTGCATCGCACAGAATCAGCCCTGTAGGCTGGGTTCAGCAGCAGCCAGTCCAGGGCACTGAAAGAACAGGGACGCACTCCTGAGCTTCAGTGGTACAGGGGCTGGTGGGGTGGGGGCTCCCTGGGATGCTGCTGTGGCCTCTGAATGCTGTATGTGGGTCCTAACGAGGGAATATCAGGTTCCTGGGTGCCTTAAGGATGTGAAGGGATGAATAGGGAAGGGTAAAGTAAAGAGAGAATGGATGCTGAAGGATTCTTCTTGGCATTCGGCTAACCTTGAAGGCAAGGCACAGTTCCTCTGCCTCCTCTGACCACTGCCTGATGACAAGCACATTGCCCTCAGCTCAGGGGAGACTCTGCGGAGTCTTGGGGGAAAGGTGAGAACTGACAAGCTAGAACTGAAGTCTTAAAATTGTGCACAGTATTCTTTTTAATTCTTGTCTTTCATCAGGCCCTGTCCCTTCCTGTTTTGGGGGACCCTGGAAGGGAGGCTTATACATTCTCTGGTGAGGGTCATGCCTGAAATTGTTCACTCAGCTCAGTGCTAGGAAACTATGGCGTCTGGTCTCAGCTCCCTGGCCAGGGTTAGGAATGTCTTTATCAAAGGCAGTTAAGCCTTTTGGGGTTGTGGTGAAATGGGAAAGACTGAAGGCTCTCCAGGAACTTCTTAGAATCTTATGTATCTTGTTTCTATCTATGGTAAAATGAAAAATGAGAAACACCCCACCATTTCTTCTAAGTGTTTTGTTTTTAAATATATATAAAACAAAGTCAATGTACGAGGTTGCCAGTGGTCTTAGCAGTGGATTCTTATAGTTAGTGGTTTTTTTTTTTTTGAAGCTGAGTGTGTTATTTTATTTGGCTAGATCTTACCAAATTTCAAAAAGCACAGGAGAAGGCTGGGTGTGGTGGTACAGGCAGGTCTTGGGAGGCAGGGGCAGGTGATCTATGTGAGTTCCAGGCTAGCCTTATCTACTTACCTAGTTCCAGTACAGCCAAAGCTATATAGTGAGACTCCCTGCCATAACCAACCAACCAATCAGCCAACCAACCGACACAAGCGCGACAGGAACCCACAGAAGCCAATGCTCTGACAAGACCAAGCGTGCTCTCACACCATGAACACCCACGTGCCTTGCTCCAATAGATAACACACTCTACCCCATTTCACTTACATTGCATGAGTCCTTCCCACCCCTGGGGGCTCCTGCACAAATCATATTTAGTCCAATCACAGGGTTAGAATTATAGTGTTTTTCGTCATTGCAGGTCTTCCGGTCTATGACAGTGATGTTGACTTCTCTCAGAACAGGAGAGGCAGGTGAGTTATTCTGATAGCTCCCCCACCCTGCTACTTGGCATTTGGTTCTTGGCTTCACATCATCCCCCTGTCTAGGTAGGTCAAGGATACCCACATTCCTGTTAATTCTTGCTTTTTTGTTTAGCTGTGAAAAAGAGAAACATAAACAGTTAAGAGTAGGAGGTTAATATTAATGTTTCAACTTCCTACCCAGTCTGCTGGGGCCTTCTTATTTGTACCAGGTGGGGGACTAGAGGCATGGCCTCGTGGAAGCGGTGAGACTTTAGGAGGTTTGTGACCCAAACAGACAGGCAAAACTACATACCTGTAGAAGTTGCAGATCACCCTCATGTGTTTGTTGGTCAAAGCATGGATAGGGAAACACTTTCTTAACAGATAATATCTGCTTTTCTGGCTCATCCTTGTCTTTGGAATGAGCCCCAAGAATGACCTGAGAACTCTTCCCCCTGTAATAGGTGCAACACTAGTTACTAGTTTAATCAAGAACTGGGCAAAATATATGTTGAACGGTTTCATTATGCCATTGGTATACATGCAGCTTTTGCAGAAATTTTGTAGCTTAGAAGAATATGCTTGCCTTAAAGGGTAAGGTGTTTAGGACTCAACTGTTATCATTACTGTCATGGAGTCGTGTAGCTTCAACAAAATACCAGGGGCTGGGTGTGTTATAAAGAATAGAGGTTGCCTTTGGCTCACAGCTTTGGAGTTCAAGAGCTCAGTGTGAGCACCTGCTTGACTTCTGATGAAGACTTGTGCTATGTCAGCTCATGGAGGTGGGAAGGGTGGGGATGTGTGAAGAGAATCAGCTGACTGACAGAGGAAGCAAGAGAATGACCAGAAACTGAGCAAGCTACCCTCATGGTAACTGGCTGATTCTGAAGTCTACATTCACCGCTCTGAAGCCCCCATCATCTATCTCTTAAAGGTTCCACTGCCTCTCAGTATTGTTACTTTAGGGACCAAACTTCCAGCAAAAGGACTTTTGGGGAGGACGAGTGACATTAGAGCCATTACACTTGTCTTGTTGCCAACAGCTTATCTATGACATGATAACTGAGGTTTATAAAAAAGCAATTGAGAGAAGCTTCACTTCGAAGATGCAAACCTTGGGGCGTGTTTCTATCCTTTCCTCTCACTGATTAGCTGTGGTGGAGAATTAGACTGCAAATCCCTGCAAAGCCAAGCTCCCAGGAGGAGATTCATAGGCAGGAACCACAGGCAGCCAGGAGCTGTAAAGCAGTCTCTCGAAGATCTTTTTGTAAGAGAACAAACCCAGATGGGAAATCTTCCGGAAACCGACAGCTTAGCACAGGACCCTATGTGCATGCCATGCAGGGTGCAAGTATTTCCTGTTGGGTTCATGCTTATGGCTCCTGTCATTCACAACCCATTACACACCAAACCAAGCACTATTCACACTGCCTTTTCTCCACGATGCCATCTGAGACTGGTTTCAAGCAAGACATCATAACTGTGCTCTCCAGAGCATGCTTTGATAATAATAGGCTTTATAAATTGTGGCCCAATAGCCACAAGCCACAGGTGGCTGCTTCAGACTTTGGCGCATGGCCAAAGAAGTGACTTTGCAATTTTAGTTAGCTTCAATTAGATTGAACTTATGTTGCCCGTGTAGTACTGTGGCAGGATCATAGGCACTGGGGAAAGTGCCATCAAGATAACAGATGAAAGGAAGCCCTCCTCCACATGGGATTCACACAACACATGGAATGTGCCCAAGAGAAGTGGGAGAGGTGGGGTCTATGGAATGACCTCTCCAGACAGGAGTCTGGCAGTCAGGAGTCTGGCAGCTCCTGCCACTTAAGCCTTATCCCAGCTCGCTGACCTATTAATTCTTGGGAGTGATACCCTCCTTATAAAATAGAGTGATTTTATTTCTCTGTAATAAACCCATTTATTAGCTAGCTTTTATTGTTTTAAAAAAATCTTTGATACAATCTATTTTGATCATATTCGCTCCTATTCCTCCTCTATTTCTTCCCAGATCTGCCTCTACCTCCCTACGGCCCCCAAGCCTGTGATCCCTGTTTTTTCTCCCCTATTTGGAACCTTTGTATAGAGTTTGCAGACACTGTATCCTCACAAACTTGTCACCTCGAGACAAATCTGGGCTTCACTTCCTTTCAGATCAACGCAAGTTGTCAAAGACTTTCCTTACACATGAAGAAATAAGTGACTTTTCCTTGTGTTAGTGAGATGTCTTTTTAAATTATTTCTTCTCATTAGACAATTTATACACATTTTTTTTAATCTCAAGAACTTACAGGGTACAATGGGCAGCTGTCAATACCCAGTCGTTTGCAATCAAAGCGCCAGCACAGATGTTATTTGAACTAAGTTTAAGTAGGACCATGTAAGGTCTTGAATGAGGAACCACTGGGTCTCCTCCAATGATTCTCACACAGCCACCTGTTCAACAGAAAAAGGCAAGCCAGGTCAGTGCCTACTCCAAACACCTCTTCAAGGACCATGCATGGAGAAGACCTAAAACCCCTGCTCAGATGCAGCCCAGAGACTCAGTCTCTAAGTGGGTGCCCTAGTAAAGGAAACAGGGACTGCCTCTACATGAACTCAGTGGCCTGCTCTATGATCACCTCCCCATGGGGGTGTGTGTGTGTGGAGCCTTACCAGGTCACAGAAGTGGACAATGCAGCCAGTCCTGATGAGACCTGATAGGCTAGGGTCAGATGGAAGGGGAGGAGGTGGACTAGTCCTATCAGTGGACTAGGGAAAGGTCAGAGGGGGAGAAGAGGGAGGGAGGTATTGGGAGGAGATGAGGGAGGGGCCGCAGCGGGGATACAAAGTGAATACTTTGTAATAAAAATAAAAAAGAAAGCCACATGTCTTTTGAATTTGGAGGGAATTTGGTATCACTTTATGTTTACCTCCTACATAGAACTTCTGATGTCTCACCCTAAGTCTTGGCCCTTTTGGGCTCCCGAGAAGGCCTTTGTGTCACATCCAGAGAAACCTGCCACTGGTGTCCCAGGAAGCACTCAGCTTGAGATCTGTCACACCTGTGCCTTCAGAGCTCAGGCTTGGCTAAGCTGCGCAGTAGTCGGCACCAGCCCCAGCGGCTGGTGTGACAAACCCTAACTGTCCCTACTCCCTTCTGGACGAGTGTTGACTGCAGAAGCAGGGCAGGAGTGGGTTTTTAGAAGCCTGCTGCTTTTTCCCTTTCACTCCGAGGCCTTGCAGAAAACATAGTGTATAGGTAGATGTTAGCACCTTTTAGCCATGCCCCTCTGTGAAGACTGGCTACCACGAGGTTTCAGGTATTAAGAGCACCGAGCTCATTCACAAGTTGAGAGAATAACACTGGCCGAACCTAAGGCTCTCCTTCAATACTCAGACCAAACATGGCTTAGTTTAAACCCTTTCTGAACGAACTATAAGGAATGGAGAGAAAAGGAGCAGAGGCGCTGTAAGTAATAATCCACCTTAATAAAACTGGCATGGCTGGACCAGGATGATAGATCCGCTATTAGAGAACAGAGAGACATAAAGGCATAAGGCAAGCATGCGTGACAGGTAGGGATCAACACTTCTTATTCCACAAATAAGTTAAACTACTCAAGTGTCAGGGGTAGACCTGGAGCATCTCATCAGGTTGAGGAGGGTGAGAGGCAGAGAAAGAGAAGACAGGCTCCGGTTTCCGTACAGGAGCCGGGAAGGCAGCATCTTCAGCTTTAGAAATAGAATGGTAAAGAATCAAAAGAATTTTGGCCGTATCCCAAGATTTCCTGGGATGACTCTTACAGAGCTAGACCAAAAAGGATTGCCTGTGGTCATCAGGAATGATGAATTCAAGAACACTCTCTTTTGTAAGATCTCTGTCTCTGAGCACACACACCAGCCTGAGCAGGAGGGCCAGGTTGCCACTAACTAGTCTTAAAGCTTCTGAAAACTGGCAACTATTCATCTCATTTAGAATTAGATTTAGTAGAAGTTCTGAGGCAGGAGCTATGATGTTCAGACTTCGTTTTAAAACAGTCTTCTAGGTTATTCTAACAAGAACATGCAGTACTGCTTTCTTAATTCCTCCCTTTTTGGGTCTATACGGCTCCTTCTGAACACAGAAAACAAAGTACAATAAAAAAGTTGTTTTTACTGTTTACTTTGAGGAAAATATAGAGTTGGCCTAACCCCACCCCCCAAAAAAAACCCCAAAATTCAATGATAAAGAAATAAAGAGGAAAGAAAATTCGCTGTAATCTCATGGGTTGAGAGGATATGACATGTCTTGAGTACGTGGGTGCTGTGCCATGCACTTTTAGTCCCAAACATCATTTGTTTGTTTTGTTTTTTTCGAGACAGAGTTTCTCTGTGTAGTCCTAGGTGTCCTGGACTAGATTTGTAGACCAGGCTGGCCTCGAACTCACAGCGACCCACCTGCCTCTGCCTCCCTGAGTGCTGGGATTAAAGGTGTGTGCCACCCCACCGGGTGGTCCCAAACATCTTTGAAATTTTTGGAAAGAAATCACAAATATTTCTTTTTCTTCTAAAAGAAATATAATTTAGAAGTGAATGCTGAATGCTCCCAGGCTTTGTATACTCTATCAGTTATACATAAGGCACCACTGTTAAAGCAAGGCAAAAATCCGCTCCATTATGGTTATGATGGAAATGACGAATCTGTCTTACCTTCAGAGATTAGCAGCAGGAGAAAGACAGTGGCAAGAGCAGACACCCGGGGAACACCAAAGTTCTTCATCATGGCTCTCCCCACATCAGTCACCAGGAGACTCTGTTTTTGTTTCTTTCCACTCATATATGAGGGTATGAAGGATGTGGTTTCAGTTTTTCTTTCAAATTTCCAGGTGTAGAGCTGGAAAATGAAACTAACAGAGGGCAGTGGGCGTGTACCCTCATCATGGTGGGTGTGCTGACCCTGTTAGTGCTGGGGGAGGGGAGGCTCCTATCCCCCTACTGCTAGCTGAGGGGAAGAGAACCTTTTGCCACCAGAAAACACCAATATTATCTCATTAACACCAATATTATCTCCCGTATCCATTAGCAGAAGCTCTCCAAAATCTCAAAAATCAGAGTTTTGGGTGCTAGGGAGGTGGACCAGTTGGTCAAGTGCTGGAGGACCCAAGTATGGATCCCCAGAACCTGTATAACAATTTGGGTGCAATTTAGCATGCCTGCAATCCCAGAACTACAAAGCAGAGATAGGAGGATCTAGCTGCGTTGGCAAGCTCCAGGTTTAGGGAGAGAGCCTGTCTCGAAAAATAGTGGGAAGTGCTTGAAGGAGATGCCCAGTGTCAAGCTCTGGTCTCACACGTGCGTACGTGCACGCGCGCGCGCGCGCGCGCGCGCGCACACACACACACACACACACACACACACTCTCTCTCTCTCTCTCTCTCTCTCTCTCTCTCTCTCTCGCTCGCCATCTTTCTTTCTTTCGTCCTAAATTGGTTACCAGGCACATTGTTTTTGGCTATTTTCTTGGGTTATAAGAATTGATAAGATAAATACAAGTTGGAGATCCAGAAGACTTACGGACAGAAGTTCCTGCTTCATTTTTGAAGGAAAGTAAAAATTAGGTTAATTTGTCCCAACATTGGGGAAAGCTGCTTTCTCTTTTTCTTCTTTTGGTTTATTCAAGACAGGGTTTTTCTGTGTGGCCTTGGTTGTCCTGGACTTTGTAAATCAAATCAGGCTGGCCTCAAACTCTCTGATCCTCCTGTCTCTGCCTCTCTGAGTGCTGGGATTAAAGGTGTGCGCCACCATATTGGCTGAAAGTTGCTCTCTTAGAACAGAGAAAGCACAGGGCCAGTCTCTGGAGGACAGCACCGGCTTGGTTTCTAGCAAGTCCTGAGCTCTCTGTGTGAGCAGAGGAAGTGGTCTCTTGTGAACACCGCTGTATGTTCCAAGTGGATGCCTGGCGTTAGACCACACAGCCCCACAGTTAACACCTGTGGCTTCAGACCTGGTGAGCACTTCTTTAGAAATCACGTGACCTTACAAGATCTCACTAGAGCACCAGAGTCTCATCATTTTCAGTAACATCAGTGAGGTACCAGGCTTCTGGTTTTGGCGAATGATTTTCCTGTCAGATCTCATTTATTTGTTTGTTTGTTTGTTTTTACAAGGTCAAACTTACAGCAAGTGAAAAAGCAAGGTCAAACTTACAGCAAAACTTGTTAGTTTTGTTTATAAATAACTGGTCCTGGTTTCTCCATTTATTCTGACTTTTAGTTACTTGGTAAGTTGTAATTCATGTTCGGTAATGCCACTCATGTAAAGCATGCTTCCAGAGTCCCATAGTCACCACTGTAAGCTGATGTCAGACATTCTGAGTTTCCCCAAGAACCTTTTATCAATTAGCTATTGCCCTCATCAGGGCCCCTATAATCTACTTTCTGTCTTCACAAATTTGCCTGTTCTGGACATTTTAGATAAGTGCTATTATTTAATATAAAGGAGTTTTTTCACGTAGCATAATTCTTTTGAGAGTTTATATTGTAATGCCTGTCAACATTTTATTTCTTTTTATTGCCCAAAACATTTCACTGCATTTTATTTATTATTAGTTTTGGATATGTGGTCTGTTTCTACTCTTGAGCTACTGTGAACATTTATGTATAATTTTCAAACATGAACTTCTGTTTTCATCGTTTTGGGGCTGTAGCTGCTGGTACAGTTACTGAGTAATTGGGTAATTGCTCAGTGACTGTGTGCTTAGCATTTTTAGGAACTTTTAAACTATTTTGTGAAGTAGATGTACCACCTACTTTCCCCACTAGTCCCCAGTGGCTCTAATTTATCTGGATGATCGCCAATATTGTCATCATTTTGATAATTACTTTTCTTGTGGGTGTGAAATAGCATTTCACTGTGGTTTTGATTTGCATTTTTTCAATGATTAGTGATGTTGAACTTTTCATGTGTCATTCATATGCTTTGTTGAAACCTGTATTTAATCTTCTGCCAATTTTAAGTTTATTTTCTTTTTATTATTGAAGGATAAGTATTCTTTAAATATTCCAAATACAACTCCCTCGGACATGTATGATTTGCAAATATTTTCTCCATATCTGTGACTGTCTCTTTTTTGATGTTGTACTTTGAAGCATGAAGTTTGTTTGTTTGTTTGTTTTTACAAGGTCAAACTTACAGCAAGTGAAAAAGCAAGGTCAAACTTACAGCAAAACTTGTTAGTTTTGTTTATAAATAACTGGTCCTGGTTTCTCCATTTATTCTGACTTTTAGTTACTTGGTAAGTTGTAATTCATGTTCGGTAATGCCACTCATGTAAAGCATGCTTCCAGAGTCAGCCTTGTCAGCCTCCTTGGTCACTCATACCTTGGACGTCTTATTTAGAAAGTCACCCACTAACTCGAGACTGTAGAGATTTTCACCTACATTTTTCTCAAGTGTTGTCTTCTGATTTGTTCATATATTTAGGCCTATTTTTGAGTTATTTTTTGTTATATTTTGAGTTGTTTTATAAACATTTATTTTATTTTTGAATTGTGTATGTCTGGGTGTCCAAGAGGACATTGAATCTTCTGGAACTGGAGGTGGTAGTGAGATGCTGAGCACTGAACTCAGGTCTCCTGCAAGAGCGCTGTGTGCTGCTGTGTGTGTCACCTCTCCAGCACACAGTTTCAGTGACATTTTGTGTGTGGTTGAGGTCTGTGTCTACTTGCATATTTTGTATGTGCCTATTCAGTTACCCCAGCATTATTTGTTCAAGTGACTATTTTCCCCCGAAAGAGTTGTTTTAACTTCTTGCTGAATATCATTTGACTATATCAGGGTTTATCTGAGGCCTCAGTTCTACAAGACTTATATACAGGCTTGTGCTTATGCTAGTCCCACTTGTCCTGATTACTACAGCTTTATAAAAAGTTGTGACACTGAAGAGTGTTGTCTATGTCCATATCACCCTGAGCACATTGATCTCATCCATAACTGAAAAATGTGAGTCCATCAACTTTGTTCCAATAGCCTTCTCAAAACTTACGTGTGCGGCAGCTTCTTTTCATTCTTACGAACACTCAAATGCATATTCTACTGTGAGTGAGCCTTACAGCAGTGCAACGTCAAGAAAGGCCACGACAATATAACAAACCAGAAGACCTCAAGCTGTGATTTGTGAACTTGTAAGACATCCTGAGATCCTTTCAGGGGTCTGTGAGGTCAAACTATTTTCTTGTGTGTGTGCGTGTGTGTGTGTGTGTGTGTGTGTGTGTGTGTGTGTGTAAGTGAGGACACTACCTGCCCGGCCTGTTTTGGGGAGCATTAAGGCTGGACGATATTCTTGGTCACATTCCCACTCTTCCATTGCTCCACAGTGTGACTCTGCACATGTGGTAGCCGGTAGCCATATCGTGAATAAAAGCAGATGAGATGGTGGGGGAAGAGAGAGGAAGACATGTTCACTGACAGAGAGATCCACAGTCCTTCCCAAGAGTTTCTGAAATGTATTTTTCACTTTAATTTGATGAATGCACTTCTGTTTCTTCTGTCTGTGCACCCTGGATGAATCCACGTCTTCATGGAGACATGAGCTAAGGAAAGTCCTTGAGCTGGTGGGAATGAAGGCTCTTTTACTCTGCACTTACACGTCTCAGTTTCCCTGAGGGAACATGGTTGGGACTGTAGGGGAAATTGTGCCCTTTTGTGTCTGGTTTTCCCTACTCCACTGCCAGTTTGCTCCCATTACCCTGGGCCACCTTTTTACTAAATCAAGACTTTTTCCGCAAGGGCCTGAATCTGGAGCCCCAAATCTGAAACAATGTCAGGCTGAAAGCCCCCGATCCTGTCAGACACTGCAGGACAGGCACACGGCATAGTCACAGTGTGGAGGAATCTCACAAATGTAATGTTCCACGACAGAACTGATTCACACAGTAGCTTGCACTGCAGGAGTGACTACATAAAGGCAATCATCACCTAATGCTTAGGCAAATCTCTACCGTGATGTTAGAAGTTGGTGTCAGAGTTATTTTCTGGGTAAAGATGTTCAGATGTTCAGAGTTTCTGGTAGCTAGTCCTTTGCTAAGGTGATAGCTTCATTACATCCACTTATTGAACATCTAGATACTGAAAAATGCACC